ATAAGCATTAAATGTTCAGCATGTTAGAAAAATATTCAGTCGTCTGTGAACCAAACTGTCAGTGCCTTGATTATTTATGCACAAAGTCTATTCTACTTTTTCTTCTTCTAACCTTTGAACCCCCTAAATTGATGAAATGTTCTACTTTTTTCTACTTCTGTACCTTCTAAGAGCTTTCCCCAAGCTTATCCTTTTTAAATAAAGTGGAGCTAATTTTAGTTCCATTATTTGCAATAGATCTTTGAAAGCTGGTAGGTTTAGCTCTTTTCAAGATAATTAAAAGACATAAAGACAATAAAACTGGAAAAAAAACTCTTTTAAAAATGTTTTTTTGAATTAATATAAAACTATACCTCCTGACTCTGAAGCACCTTTAGAAGCTCCAATATCATCCTAATTCCATGATTCCTAGCTAAAAATTATAAATTTGAGGAGCTCAAGTTCATTACATGGCCCAATCAAAGAAGTGTCCCAACTGGAGAGGCCTCCCAGTTCCAGCTCACCAGGTGCAGGTCAAGATGTCCTTGACTCTCTGAGAAAAGAATGTTATTATGACTATATATCACCCATGCTCCATACAATCCCCCCTCCCAGTTTCCCACAGTAGTAAATGTGGCAGGCCTGAAGGCCCAATGCAAAAGATGGCTTCCAGGCCTGAATCATCCTGGTTGCTCCGCTCTGCATTTTTTCTAGAGTCTCAACATCTTTTTTAAAATGTGGTGACCAAAACTGGATGCAGTATTCTAGGTGTGGTCTTAGTAAGGCTTTATAGAGTGGTATTAGTACCTCACTTGATCTTGATTGTATCCCTCTGTTAATGCAATTTAGGATTGCAAGGATCATATTTTAACATAGATCCAAACTTAAAAGTTATCTGAGCCTAAAAGTTATCAGTCCTTCAATTAGACGGGAGAGTTTAATATTTCCAACAACTTTCTACTTTCCAAATTTTCAAACCAACACTCATTATTCAGGCAAGACTCTTTCTGGCAAGAACATAAATAAAAAAAATGCAATAATAACAAAGAAGAAAAGGTCTCTAGTCTCCTCTGGCTATAAGTCAGTCCTGAATGATCACAATTCTCCACACCTGTTGAGTGATTCATTGCTGCTTATTTTATTTAGAAAATGCACATGGCATCTAGTCTCTTACGTTAGGTGGCTTACACAAACATCAGTGATGTTCATTAATATATATTTTTTTAAAAAATGTAAAAACACAAAAGCTAAAGTAGCAGCATTAAATATCATGGTAAAACATTGCTTTTGTGGTTCCTCCTAAACTATAGAAAAGAAGGGACTTGTTGAATTTCACTGGCAATTTATTCAATAATATAAACCTTTCCACAGAGAAAGCTGTATCTGTTGATGGTATTTGTATCCAAAGGCATTAATAACCTGAATATGAGAGATGCTAGGCTATTTAGCTCTGAATGTAGGTTGAATAATTCAAACAAAATAATATAAACCTGCTAAAGTGGCATCTGGACAAGTTATGTGCATGATAATTTAGCACAGAGAACATTTTTAAATTTAAATGAATTGCATGTTTGATGTAATACAAGGGACATGGTGGCTCAGTGGTTAAGACGCTGAGCTTGTTGATCGAAAGGTTGGCAGTTCAGCGGTTCGAATCCCTAGTGCCATGTAAGGGGGTGAATTCTTGTTACTTTTTCCAGCTTCTTCCAACCTAGCAGTTCAAAAGCACATAAAAAATGCAAGTAGAAAAATAGGGACCACCTTTGGTGGGAAGGTAATAGCGTTCCATGCACCTTCGGCATTTAGTCATGCCGGTCACATGACCACAGAAACTTCTTCGGACAGCCCTGGCTCCTCGGCTTAGAAACAGAGATGAGCACCGCTCCTAGAGCCGGAAACGACTAGCACGCATGTGCGGGGGAACCTTTACCTTTACCTTTATGTTTGGTGTACTGGTTCAAGAGTTCAAAACCAGACAAGTTGTCATGTTCTTATCTATATTAATAAAAATAGATGGAAAGTGAGAGGAAATTTTAAATGGAGAAAATTTCTAAAATGATCCTTGAGCTCACATAAACAGGAGATCCTCTTCTAGACTTTTAGATTGCAATGAGATCATAGGAATTCTGATGTAGTCCTTTGAATCATGTGGCCAATAAACAGTTATTTACAGGAATATATAATGCATAAGTACGAGCTTTATGTGACTATGGCACAAATAATTTGTTATGAACTGATTAAAACTGTAGGAACATGTATGAAAATCATTGGACAATATTCTGAAGTTTAAATATTTTGGTTCACTATTGCAATTGTACTTTATTTAGTGGTTCAAGTCTTTTATAATTACCTGGGAGATTATATATGTATGTATGTATGTATGTATGTAAAGATTACAGGTGCTGGGAGATTTCTTAGTTATTTATTTTTCAATGATATCACTCCCACCTCCTCCTCCCCCCCAAAAAAATCCCCATATAAATGAATTTCAGATCCCCAGGGCTCAGATCCTCATACTATCATCCTAGCTGGGAGAAGGATATATTTTTTAAAAAATGAATCTTAATATGTCTTTCTAACAAAATAAATGGAATATAGGCAGTGGTGGGATTCAAGTAATTTAACAACCGGTTCTGTGCGCTAATGATTTCTTCCAACAACCAGTTTGCCAAACTGCTCAGAAAGTTAACAATCGGTTCTCCTGAAGTGGTGCGAACTGGCTGAATCCCACCACTGAATATAGCTGGTAACAATTCTTATTTTCCCATGTGGCTTTCTTAGAGCAGGATAGGCAGTCTGCAATCTGTTTTTGGTGTTTGTGGTATTGGTCAAAGTCATCTTCAGACAATTGATTCAGTCTAGTATCTTCCCTTTCAACCTGCTGAGAAGGAGGAGGGGGTGGAGAAGGAGGAGGAGGAAGAAGAGATAATATTATGTCTTGACACCTTTTAATTCTATTCCAATTCAAAGTGGCTTCAGTGGAATCCTTGATGCTCACTGAGCTTGTTTGTTTGCTTGCAGGGATTTTATTACTGGACTAGGTAACATTATCAATGCTAGAGAGTATGGGGTTTGCTTCCTGTTTATATACAGTAGCTTTCTCTATTTCTATTGAGGGGGGGGGTGTTCCCTTCCTTGGTTGTTCCTTGATTACAGTATTACTTTCTGTTTCTCTGGTGTTAATCTCTGCTTACCTTGGTCTTGACTGCAGGAAATAGCATGTTCTGGTCTTTCTATTTCCCTCTAGGTTTTTTTTTTTTTTTTTAATGATTTCAATGGACTTCTACATTACCTCTGAAAAAAAATGTGTCCTTTCGCAGAACAACTAGCTTTACAACTATTAATATATAGAATGCAATACACGGAAAAGCAGTTGTTAAGATAAACAGGAGAATCACAATCAATGTCAAAAATGTAATCAGGATACATGGGGAAAGAGAAGATATCAAAAGAGAGTGTGGTGTTTTTTTTTTCCAAATGCCCAAGGTTATTTTGAACAAAATATAAGGTTAGAGTTGTGTGTACATCCTTCCCATTGTTGGAACAATGTAATTGATAAAATAGATTTTATTCTTCTCTTTCTTTCCCTTCTCTGTGTTTTCTCCCCATGTTTCAGACTGAACAATCTTTCTTTTTCTGCTTTCCATTTCCCTTTACTGCCTTTCCTTTTATAATACAGAGATCCAATTAGTTTAATAATGATTTTACATAGAGTTGAGGACAATCACTTGAAAGCTTTTTCCTGTACAATTGGAATTGCTTGTCTTCTTGTTCTACTAAAACAAAATCCAGACCTTAAAAGTCACATTTGCCCAGTAAAGTGTGTGGTGTGAGGAAGAGAAATATCTCATGTGGGTTGCTAATTTGGAGATACATCAGATTTCATTTACATTGTTATGCTCATTGGACCCAATGCAGTAACTAGATCTGATTGCAAATATAAATTCATCTCGGGGCTTCTAATAATTTCATGTGATGAGTTATCTGAAAATCCAATATGGATCAAACTAAAATAATTATTTCAGTAGTAATTGAGATGATTTACACATATATGATGATTCTGGCAATGTAAATCTTAAAGCACTTTCTTTTTTCATGGGTTGTGCGTGTTCATTTGAACCATTTTCTACTTTTTAGATAAGAGGTGCTAGTGCTACAGTCGGTATCTTACAATTATTGCAATAGCACTTAGGCTTATGTGCCACTTCACAGTGCTTTTACAACCCTCTCTAAGCGGTTTACAGAGTCAGCATATTGCCCCCAACAATCTGGGCCCTCATTTTAACCACCTTGGAACAGGGGTGGGTTCTAAATTTTTTTACTACTGGTTCTGTGGTCGTGGCGTATTTTGTGGGCATGATTAGATGGTTATGTGACAATTCTTTAGGATTTAGAAGAGGTACTGGTCTACCAGGCTTTTAACTGCTTGCAGAGCTGTATCGGTCAACCCATTTGTTCTTGGAGCATTCCAGTCTACTCATTTGTTTTTGGAGGCACTGGTCTACTCATTTGTTTTTGGAGGCACAAGTCTACCCATTTGTTTTTGGAGGCACCGGTCTACCCATTTATTTTTCGAGCGCTCTGGTCTACCACTACACTTCCTTTTAACACTGATCAGCTGTAGGGCGGACCTTTGAAGCCCCACGGCAAGAGTTTAAACAGTTTTTTTCCTTCTAGCTGATCACCTGGGACTCAGGAGGCAGCGAAAAATTGGGGGCGGGGCCAAATAAAAGGTAAAAATAATGCGGGGGGAGGGCAGGAGGGCCCAGCTCCCGAACAAAGAGAACCGATTCGGTGACATCGAACCGGGCCGTACCGGGAGGAACCCACCACTGCCTTGGAAGGAGGAAAGGCTGAATAAACCTTGAGCCTGGTGAGAGTCGATCTGCCAAATTGCAGGCAGCCGGCAGTCAGCAGAAGTAGCCTGCAATACTGCATTCTAACCATTGCGCCACCGCTGCTTTTAGTTAGTAGTCAGTATAGTTAGTTTATTGACTAGTAACTTGTGTCTTTTTAAACAGAAATTGAAAAAGAAAGTTGTGGAGATCCAGGAACACCACTGTACGGCATCAGAGAAGGAGATGGGTTTTCCAATCATGATGTGTTGAGGTTTGAATGCCAGTTTGGATTTGAATTGATTGGAGAAAAAACTATTGTTTGTCAAGAGAATAACCAGTGGTCAGCAAACATACCTATATGCATTTGTGAGTATAAATTAATATATTCCAATAATTTAAAACTTACTGTATGTATGTATATATTCCTGAAAAACTATTTTGAACTAAAATCTTTTTAAAAACATTTTTATGCTCTCACCAGACAATATTTGATCTTCAAACCTTCAGTATTTATGATGTATCTTACACATACTTTTATGGACAATTATAGGATTGGATAATTGATAAAATATTCCTAATAACGGTTGACTTACAATGAAATTGTACATTCTTTCAATTTCTTTGAATTTTGTACTATCCCCAAATCTCTTTTAGTACATGCATGATCCTAGAAACTTATATTTTGCTTGTCTGGCACTAATTCCACCCCAACCCCCAAAAAATCATCTTTTTAACATAAACCAACCAACCAACAAAATGCAATATATCTGGGCTTTAAGCAGGTTTGGAGAAACCCAAATAAGTATTTCAGCATTCTATAAGATATTTTAGTTATTTTTTAAAAATTTTTTAAAACTTTTAGTTATTTTAATTTAGATATTTTAGTTATTTTAATTTATCTTTACGTAGTTATATAATAATGCCCACAACTGCTGCAATGTAGTAACTGAAATTATTAGTCATTATGGTGACTAATGTGGTAAAATAGTAGTATTAATATAAAATGTTGCCTGTATAATAAGGACATTTGAAAAATTATTGTGATTGAACCAAGTCCTGCTTATTTGTGAGCTACAAATTACCATGGTAACGTTTATCTTTGGTCTCTTTACATGCTTGATGAATGATTGTTCATGTGAATAGCTTCTTCCCTCTAAGGGGGTGGATATAGGAGATAACCAGGCTAATTCTGAGGGAGGGAAGGGTCAAATGTGTTGTTGGTCATAAATCCTTGCGTGCCCACAAGAGATCTAAGTCCAGCCCATCATGAATTCCTTTCTATTCTTAACTCCTGTTAATTTCTCTTGACTGTTAGTGATTCAGATTCTTATAGAGATCTTAAGCTTGCAATAGATCTCTATACTCATTTGAACTGCTTGAAGTTTCTGATTTCCCCAGTGCTTGAAAGTGGGCATATGTAGCACGAAGTAGGTAAATCATAAAGCCTACTTTCATTTCACTGTAACAGAATTCAATACATGCTTTCTTCTACAATTTACAGTTAATAGGTATTAACACAGACAGGAAAACGATGTCAAGGACATCAACAAATTACAAATCATGCCAAAGATACTGTTAGATCCTGAATAGAGAAGTGGGGGGAAAAAAGAGGAGATGATGATCATCATCATCATCTATATCTAACAATCTAACCAATCAATTATCTAAACAATAGAATATCATTGCCATTCTTCCTATACTTTTTTAAAAATAAAGCTTCTTAAATGAAGGAGAAAGTCAGAAAGGAAAAGCCTTTGCATCCCTAATATTTTATTAGGAGAATAAAACTAGGAAGGATCTTCTTTTATTTATAATCCTAATCAATCAGTACCAAGCACTGATGATGTAACATAAGGTTTGGTGATAAAAATGTCTGCAATAAAACCACCAAGCTCACCATGAACTCCACAGTTCAACCCTGAGCTATAAATATTGTGTTCCATTCAGTAATAGTTGTTTGGTTCATTTTTCATACTTTTCTTTCAATGAGATATTGCACCTAGAAAAAAAATTGGAAAATGAGATTTGGCAATGAGCTAATATAACTGTGATCAATCAGAATAATAATTCTCCTACCAGGATGAATGGAACCAGATAACTGGTTCCAACTAATGCGTACTATATACTCTAAACACAGCAAATGGGGCTGAATTTAGAGTTAGACAATACCCGTAAACTTTGGGTTGTCTTTTAAAAAAAGATTGCTGAATCAATCCTTATCAATCATTTTTAATTGTGGTTTTGGATGATCCTCTGGGAAGTATGGTAACATTGTATTTTATTTCATGGCAAACTAGTGAAAGATGTGATGAAGAAATAATTAAAAAAGACAGGGGTAGGCTTCAAAAATTTTAGCAAGGGGTTCTCTGCCTGGTTGCTGGGTGGGCGTGGTCTAGTCAGCCTCCTGCACCATGGGGGGCACTTTTTTCCTCCCCGGGCTCTGGAGGCTTTCCTCGGGCCTCTGAAAGGGTGAAAATGGTTTCCCCAGTCTCTGGAGGCCCTCTGAAGGCTGGAAACAGGGTCATTTCTGGCCTTCCTGAACTTCTGGTAGGCCCATTTTTCACCCTCCCTGAGCCTCTGTGCATGCCCTTACCTGTATCCAAAATGGACTGCATGGGGACTTCTAGGAGGAGAGGAGAGGGATTTGGGGGTTTTCCGAAATCCACCAAATGTACAGAATGCACAGAATCGTAGCTAGAGGTTCTTCCAAATGCCTGCAAACCCCCAGCAGCCTACCCCTGAAATAAAGGAATGAATAAATAAGAATATTGAAATAAAATATTGGGAGGAAATGCTCAGAATGTCAATTTTAGTTGGGTTCTTATCTCTTTTCTAATTTCTTTCCTGACTTTTGACAGTTCCTTGCCTATCTAATTTCACGGCACCGATGGGAACTGTTCTTTCTCCTGACTATCCAGAAGGATATGGGAATAATTTGAATTGCATCTGGACAATCATCTCAGACCCTGGGAGTCGCATTCATCTCTCTTTCAATGATTTTGACCTGGAATCTCAATTTGACTTTCTTGCAATTAAGGACGGTGATTCTCCAGATTCTCCAATACTTGGCACATTCACTGGAGCTGAAGTGCCATCCCATCTGACTAGTAACAGCCACATTTTACGCTTGGAATTTCAAGCTGATCATTCAATGTCAGGCCGAGGATTTAATATCACCTATAACAGTGAGTAAATGTATTTATTACATATTTAATAATTATATGCATGCTTTTATTTATTAATATTTTTCTGAAGATAGATAGACAGACAGACAGACAGACTTTATTGTTAGTACTATTAGGATTCATACCATAATAATTAACTGAAGGATTATGGTGTCTTCTGATTTCACCTACCTTCCTTCCCCCTCCTCCTCCTCCTCTTCCTCCTCCTCCTCCTCTTCTTCTTTTCCTCCTTCTCCCTCCCTCCCTCTCTCCCTCCTTCCTTTCTTTCTTTCTTTCTTTCTTCATCTAGGAACCACCATATCAAATCTGTGTATTTTATTAATTTTTGATTGTTTTAATTTGCTTTCCTGCAATATCTACTTCTACTACAACTGCATCACAAAATAGACTTCCTATGAGATGAATGTTTGGCTTAATTTCCTTCTTTTTTTCAAGCCACAGTATCAAAAAAGCTATAGTAACATTCTCACACCTTATAAACATGGCAAAGAGAGTGGATGTCTAATTTTATTGCAATGTATAGATTTGTGGTAATGTAAAGTAATACACAACTTTATGCTATTAATAACAATATAACTTTGTGCCTTTTCCAAAGTGACACTGGTGGCAAGAGCTGTTAATACTAAGTTGTCAAAGAGTAACTGAAGAACATTACATTCCAATTGGCTCTGATGGATGTCATAGCAGATTGTTATATAAAATTACTTCAATGCCACAAGTGATTCCGGTTTTGTTTCTGACATGTTTCCAAATTTTTGCCTAGTGACAAATGTTATCCTAAATTAAGATACAGTTCTTTCCCAATGAACTTTTAAAATTCATTTTTAGTACCAGTTCTTTGTTCTTAAACTTGAATGACACCTTTCCATGTTTTGAATTAAAATTATTTTTTTTCTGGAAAAAAAAAGGATTCGGGAGTTTTAGAACGTAACTGTACAATAAATAGCCATTGGATCTTGTGCATTATCTTATATAAATAATTATATCCCATTCTGTCTACAATACCTCCTTCAGTCTCCTAGTTAACTTATTAGCAGTCACTCTTGTAGGTGAGTGAAGAGTTGTGGATCATTAAACACTGATGACAACTGCAAAAACTCTTTAGAGTTGCACTGATTATTCTTCCTTCCTCTCTCTCTCTCTCCTTTTCTTTTTCTCTCCTGAGAAAGATGAAGAATATACAACCTGAATCAGAAATTGTCACAGTTCTTGTTCTGCTTTTAAATTATGAACTGTTTGACAAATTGCTATTGCCCTCAAGCCACTTGACTTTGTCAACAGTTGACTCTCTGTCTCATTCATATGAATAGGAGAAGGGGTTTCTACTTAAAGGGTAATTTTATGGTAATTTATTGTTTTGGAATATAAAACTTTATGCGTTACAAAACGATTATAATGATACCTTTAGGTTTAGTGTTTTTAATTTTGCATCCACTTAGTAATAATAGTAAAATTATCAATTTACTTTGCTCGTATATGAATACAAAATATGTTGCCAAAATTGCCATATTTAGGACTTATCTAAATTTTGAATATGGAGTTTACCACATAATTACCAAATTAAAACAGACACCACTGTGGTCTTGGGCAGCGTCTGCCTACCTGCCTGCCTGCCTGCCTACCTACCTACCTACCTACCTACCTACCTACCTACCTACCTATCTATTTATCTATCTATCATCTGAAATGTCATTCTCACATACAAAGAAGAACATGAAAGTAATTTTAATTATTCCTTCCTTGTCTTCTTTGTGTTTTAAAGCATTTGGACATAATGAGTGTCCTGATCCTGGTATACCAATCAATGCACGTCGGTTTGGAGACAATTTTCAACTCGGAAGTTCTATCTCTGTGATTTGTGAAGATGGTTTTATTAAAACTCAAGGAACTGAAACAATTACTTGTGTTTTGATGGATGGTAAAGTCATGTGGAGTGGACCTATCCCTAAGTGTGGAGGTATTTGTAACTTTTTTTTATAGTTTTTGTGTTACAGTTAATATATATTGTATATCAGTTTTTAATCTGTAACCTAATAGGTGAAATTCACAGCCATCCTTTTTTTGTCATGATGATGATGAAATTTGCAAATATCATCTGATATGATTATCTTGAATGATAATCTAAGTTACTAAATATTGCATATATTAAATATTTGATATAGGAAGCTAAATACATGCTGGTCTTTTTTCATATGTTTATTCAGATTCCATATTTGATCTTACATTTTTACATTCAGAAATATGTTCACACAGCCATAATCATGCCAGGTCATTTTTTAATGATCTTTCAGGCACACTGACAACAAACTATCTTGCCCAACCTCTTCATGGAAATATCCCAAAGGTGCTTTTCCAAAAAACATCTGAACTTCCTTTCCTTTCTTCTTTTGAAAATGGTTTGCTTCTCATCCAAGAAGCTTCTTCAGTTTTCGAAGGAAAAAGAAAGTAAGTCCAATTGCCTTTTGGAAAAGCATCTTTGGGACAACCATGACCTGGATGATTGAGAATCTCCATGGATATTAGTTCATGGCAATATATTCCCTTATAAGAATAAGTACAAGCACATATTTTACCTTACTCAAATAGATTTCTCTACTGATTTTTTTTTTTCAAAAATTGCTAGTACGTAATATTGTAAATACATAAAGGAGCTATTGCCATTTCAGAATCCATTCATCTATCAAATTTTTCACAAGAACCTGCTGTTGAGTCACTCACATTCCCTCAGAGAAATTAGCTGTTCTTTGTTGTGTGTGAGTGGGAGTGATAGGAGGGGGCAGAATCCATGTTCAGGCTTCATGAAACTAAATAGGGCTCCTAATAGAATGATAAAGTCTTTCATTATCGCTGCAAAGTATGAATTCTTTTCAGTTTCATTTCAGACAGTATGAGGGTATGATGAATGCCAGGATATGTAAAAATGGTCAGTTTTGTGAAGGAAGATGTATGAGAAGGGGTTGGAGGACATAAAATGTACTCTACAAATGAAGAAAATTTTAGCATTTAAAATATTTTATTTGCATATTTTGCTTTGACAAATTGAGATCATTTTTAAGAGCAAAACATTTTTAGGGATGGGCACGTTGATGAAAGCAGGGTCCCTTTAAATGTGACATCATGACACTCATAGAAATGGCAATGGCACAACACAGCTTTGATCGGATTTACTGGTTTTGAGTGCCACTGCTTTTAGTAATAAATTTTGTAATAACCATAGAAGAGCATTCAGTGTTAATATTCCCATACTGCAGAATAGTAATTTAATGGGTTTTTTTTTATCCAAAATACTGAACGAAAATACATATCTGGTTGGAAGAAATGATAAAACAACATATAGACCTGAAACGAGAGATATTTTTGTTGGGCATCCTACCAGAAAAATATGATAAAAAGACTACAACTTTGATCTTGCATATACTAACCGCAGCCAGAATTGTATTTGCGCAACAGTGGAAAAATGAGGAGATCCTGTCTGAGGGGAATGTAATTAAGAAATGGATAGACTAACACTTTTTATTAAAGACAAAGAACAAACTGAATACTATTTGATATGGGACATATTTTATCAATGGCTAGACAATAGAAACAAACGTTAGAAAGGAGGAGATATAAAAAGAGGAAATGTTAAAGAGGAAAGTTATTAAAGAAGATGATGTTAAGTGTTAAGTATTAATGTTATTATATTATTATGTTATTATATTATTAACATGATGGAGATGAATTATCACAACAAAGATGTATAATATGACTATACATAACTGTACCCAGAACACACAGTTTGATGAAAATTGAATGTGATATAAATAAAACGTCCTCCTGGATGCACGGCTGTCTTTAGAAGAGCATATGACGGCCGTGGCCAGGGGGGCTTTCTATCAGGTTCACCTGATACGCCAGTTGCATCCCTTTCTGGATCGGGACTCCCTACGCATGGTCACTCAAGCACTCGTCACTTCCCGCCTGGACTACTGCAATGCTCTCTACATGGGGCTCCCCTTGGGGTGCACCCGGAGGCTGCAGTTGGTCCAGAATGCGGCCACGTGGGGGATTATGGGAGCAATGGGGCGCTCCCATGTGACACCTCTCCTGCGCGAGCTGCACTGGCTTCCTGTGGTCTTCCGGGTGCGCTTCAAGGTGTTGGGGATCACCTTTAAAGCGCTCAATGGCTTAGGGCCGGGGTATTTGCGAGACCGCCTTCTGCCGCCAATAGCCTCCCACTGGCCGGTTCGCTCGCACAGAGAGCGCCTCCTCAGGGTGCCATCGGCCAGACAGTGCCGGCTGGCGACTCCCAGGGGGAGAGCCTTCTCTGTGGTGGCACCAGCCCTCTGGAACGACCTACCCCCTGAGATACGCACGATATCAGACCTCATCTAGCTGGACTGGCTTGATCCCGTCCTCTCAGTTTTAATTGATTTGGTTTTAATCTGGGTTGTTTTAAATTATTTGGGCCAAAATTATTTAATTGTTTTTAAATTGTTTTTTAAATTTTGTATACGATGTTTTATTTTGGCTGTGCACCACCCTGAATCCTGCGGGAGAAGGGCGATATAGAAATAAATAATAATAATAATAATAATAATAATAATAATAATAATAATAATAATAAAACAAATAAAACTTGTAAAAAAAAGAATAGTAATTTAATGACTTATTTAGAAAAACACATTGGTTGTGTAGCTTGTTCACTGTGATGAGATATAAAAATATAGTTCAGAAGTGAAACTGAAAATCCTCCCCCTCAAAAAAAATAAAATACCAATCATGGGAAGGAGGTATTGAGAAAAGGCAAACAAAAATTTGAAGCTTACAGTAGTCATAGTAGGACAAGACCATATTTCATTCTCCCTCCTGTTTCTGTTATTCCTAACATCTACAAAAAAATGTTGCACAGATCCTTGTGTGGTAGGGCCATGATTTAAAAGCAAAATTAAATAAATGAATGCAAATTCTATCTTGTCCTCAATTAAATTAGTGAGTTGATGAGAGTGGTAAAATCTGAAGTAAAGGTAAAGGTAAAGGTTCCCCTTGCACATATGTGCTACTCGTTCCTGACTCTAGGGGGCAGTGCTCATCTCTGTTTCAAAGCCGAAGAACCAGCACTGTCTGAAGACGTCTCCATGGTCTTGTGTCCGGCATGACTAAATGCCAAAGGCGCACAGAGCGCTGTTACCAAAGGTGGTCCCTATTTTTCTACTTGCATTTTTTACGTTCTTTCGAACTGCTAGGTTGGCAGAAGCTGGGACAAGTAACGGGAGCTCACCCCATTACATGGCACTAGGGATTCAAACTGCTGAATTGTTGACCTTTCGATCGACAAGCTCAGCGTCTTAGCCACTAAGCCACCGTGTCCTTAAAATCTGAATTAGGGACTCGTTATTCTGTTATATAGGATTGCAATGCCAGTTTATGGCTCCCCTAGATTATTTCTGACTTTATTTGATTTATGCTTCACTTTGACTCAAGTTTATCTGAAGATAAAGTAGCTTCTTTCCAGCCTTCCTTTCTGCTCTTGTGATTTTCTTTTATTTCAGAAATCTGAGCATGATGACTGTTCTAGCCCGACAATAACAACTTGTTGTTTTCTTCTTTATAGCTCCATGTGGTGGACATTTTGCAGCCCCCAGTGGAGTCATCCTTTCTCCAGGCTGGCCTGGCTATTATAAAGACTCCTTGAATTGTGAGTGGGTGATTGAAGCAGAACCAGGACACTCTATCAAAATTACATTTGAAAGGTCTTGACAAAAGCTTTCTTTTTCCTCCTTCTGTTTTTTTTTTTTTTTACTTTTAACTGATGGCCAGGAGATTACAGCAGAAAAACAAAACCTTGATTTAATGGACCCGTAGGGTAGGAGGGAGGTGTCCATTGCTTCTGAATGTCCATTAAATCCAAAAGTCTTTTGCACTGATGTATGTTCTTTTTGTCATGGCATCATTGCAGATGAGACAAAATCAGGAGATTTACCGTGATTTTCATGATTTGTGGCCTCATTATACAAATAGTCTAAATGGGTTATTCAGGCAATTATATCATTACACAGTGATGCCAATTGGCATAGTTACATAAATTTAAGAGAATTTTCTGCTAAGAATGCAATGCTTAAGAATGTCTATTGCATTTTTTCCCCCCTAAGATGCTCTGGTAAAAACACCTTGTCTGTTGAAACTGGAGTTAATTAAAAGCTTTTATTATTATTGATTTTGTAGCAGAAGCCAATTTTGGTTAATCATGTTTTCTTTTATTTGTACTTCAGTAAAAAAAAAAAAAAAACTTGTAGAGGTGTCTGGGTCATTGAATGTACAACACTGTTATGCAATGGATTCAATGATAGAGGGTATTTACTCTAATTTCATGACTTAAGGGTTTGATGGAGATGGAGTGGTTGCTTCTATTTTGTAAGCTCAAAGTGATGGAACATACAGGTTCTGAAAATTCTCTGTGAATTCCCCACTATTTTGTAATGTATTTTAATGATAGTGCTACAATTAGGATGTACTCATATACAGGGTATTAGATTATAGTAAAGACATCTACCAGTGATGAAATCCTCCACCGGTTCGCTACCCATGCATGCATGCTGCATGCCAAATGTGGGCTGTGTGCGTTCATGCGCAGTGCATACCAAACACATGCTGCATGCGCGCACATGCACAATACACACCAAATGTGCACTTTGCACGGAAAAAAGAAACTGTTTGAAGGTTAAGTAGAACAGTGAATGGGGAGAACAGCTGTGCCGTGTGATGTAGATTTGCTAGAAAGCAGGATTTCCTGCTTTCTAGCAAACATAAATTGCGCGGCTCAGTTGATCATCAGAAATACCGGTTCAGACAAACTACTAATTTTTATTACTACCGGTTCGCCTGAACTGGTGCGAACCGGTTTCACCCCTGCTTCTACTGAGGTTCTGTAATGTCAGGACAGAATACATACATAGATGTTTAGAAAATTGTCTCTTTCTTCAATATTTGTTTTTAGTTTTAATTTTTTAAAACTTTTTTGCTTGTACTGCTTTGATTGTCTAAGACATCATAATAACTACAAACTAGGTCTCCCAATGGGACTTGCCTCCTTTTATTGAAATATAGTATTTTTATACAGTTTTAGGTTTTGAAGTGTGTACTGTCCATTGAGACTATGATTGGTGGTCTCTAAATTTGATGAATGAATGAATAAATTAAATTAAAATAAAATAAATAACAACTTAGATGTTTTAGATCCAGAATACAGCCTTCCTTTGTGATATCTGCAATATCATGACTTACTAATTAGTCATGATGGCTTCATATTCTGTCCATTGATAAAAAGCATTGTGTATTTCAATGATATTTGGTGGACAATACAAAGAAATTACCTTTGTGATTATCTACTTTTTGTGAGATTACCATAAGTATCCTATGGGTCATTAAAGGATGAATACAACCGACTATGACTCTTCCTATGTTTGAAATAAAATCTAGACATCTTCACTAAAAAAAAAATAACTAGATATCTTAAATACCGATGTTTGAGAAGACCTAGTATGATATAGGATATAATCTATAAAAAGGTGGGTTACATTAAATGTATCATTTTAAAACATGTCATAACAGTAGTAATTATTTTTTAAAGAATTTTTTTGTGTATATGGTAGATCGACAAATGTTTAGGCAGGATTTGTCAAGGACTTAGGGTAGACAGGTGTTGCTGTTTGATGGTATTAAAGCAGTGGTGAAATCTAAAATTTGTTACTACCGGTTCTGTGAGTGTGGATTGGTGTGTGTGGGGGGTAATGTGACTGGGTGGGCGTGGCCTATTTTTTTTTTACTTTTAAAATCATTTTTTACATGTAAAACCATGTTAAAAAATGCTTTCAAAAGGCTCTGACGATTGCAGCTGAGTTGCCTGATCGTCAGAGGGTTTTTAAAAAACCCTCTGACGATCAGGCAACTCAGCTGGGATCATCAGAGCTTGGATTGTCAGAGCCATTTAAAAGAAAAATTTTTTTTCAGCTTGGATCGTCAGAGCCATTTAAAAGAAAAAACTTTTTTTTCTTTTAAATGGCTCTGACGATCCAAGCTGAGTTGCCTGATCGGCAGGCAACTCAGCTGGGATCTTCAGAGCTTGGCTTGTCAGAGGCATTTAAAGGAAAAAAGCCTCTGATGATCATGCGGCTCAGCTGGGCATAGGGGGTGGGGGCAGGGATTTTTGCTACCGGTTCTCCGAACTGTCCACCGCCATCGCTACCTACCCACCCGAGCCGGTCCAAACCGGGAGCATTTCATCCCTGTATGAAAGGTATTATTGCAGGATGTAAACTGTTCCAAGTAAAGCTGCTATTTGTAAATGATTGGTGGTGGATTTTGTCAATGGCAATGGTGTTCAAGTGGTGTTCCAGATGTTTTGGAATTATTATTGCTTTGTGATTGTTGTTGCTGCTATGGTTGCTTTTCTTAGTCATCTTCAAAACTCTTCTTCATAATTCTGAAAGATGTATCTCGAAAAAGATGGAAAGAAAGGGAAAGAACAGAAATACTAAAAGAGGAAAATCTATATTTTGATCGCTATTTTTCCCTTCTTTTCCTTTTTTTTTTATTGACTTCACTTTCTCTAAACTATGGTTCTCTACTTCATACATAGGCAATGCTTTGAGATTCAACTTTGCCCCTATACTCTTTGGAAGCTAGTCAGCACAACTTGTAATGTACTGATATCACAAACCGAACATCTGCCTTTGATTAGGTGGAGATGAAGACGTGAAGCTTCCCCAAATACATTCCTATTCTTATATTTAAAAAAAGAAAGAAAGAAAAAGTACTGGAAGGCCCTTGTAGGAATTACAGATTGCCCCACCCTGTTGTACTTTTCTCATGTAGAACAGAATATTGGCTTATAATAGATATATTTCCTTTATGCATGCTAAAAAGCCCTTAATCCTAAACACCGAAAAGTCTAAGAAGTAAATAGTTTACTTTAACCTTTGCAAACAAATTTTTCTCATGGGACTTGCCCATAATAAATAAATTCACAGAAATTTTAATTTGCCAAAATAACATGAAAAGTTAGCTTATTTTATAGATTTTTATCACCTATCACAATTCAAAGGCTCTCACCACATTACAAGGGAGTAAAAACATAACAGCAATAAACCACCCTAACTGCAGCTACTCCTAATAATCAGAGTTCAATGATTGATGGAAAATAATCTTTCGTGAACTATCTGTTTCCACCTCCAAATATGGTGTACTACATATATTTAAATGATAACAGTAGTATACAAGAATGGGGAAGAAATTGTTTTTATTCTTACTGTAGCCTCAGTGTCTATTCTCAGATACCTATGGGACATTGGAGACTTCCATACAGGATGAATAAACAAGAACATAAAAGTTTAAAGGTAGTTCTGACTTCATCAGTTTTTCTTTCTTTCTCTGAATTGAGAAGATAAATTAGTTACCCCTACAAATTTTCTCGTACTGATATAATTCTCAAACAGCACCATTCTTTCTGGACATTTAGTTAAATGACTGCTTCACTATATTGTTTACTCTTTAATGGTACTAAACAGTAGCTGGTTTCAAATCCTGGTGCTACTGGTTTGCTATTAAGAGCACGCGGGAGCGGGCACTCACTTTGGGAGCGTGCGGTGCTTCTGCGCATACACAGAAGGTTCTGCGCATGCACAGAGCATTTTTGATGATGTCTGGGTGGGTGGGCGGAGCCTCCTACTGCTGCCACTACCGGTTTTCCCAAACCGAGGCGAACTGGTAGCAACCCACCCCTGGTACTAAATTACCTAGGCCAGTGATGGCTAATCTTTTTGCCATCACATGCCAAAAGCATGTGGGGGGATTGCACTCATGCATGCCCACACCCATCATTCAATGTGCCCCGTCCCCCACACATGCACATGCTCCCCATGCTTTTGGCATGCAATGGACGGGGGCCACAGTCGGCCCATTTTTTGCCAGGCTCCAGAGGCTTTCTTCGAACGTGGGAGGGCGAAAACAGCCTTCACCCCCTCCCCGAAGCCCTCTGGAGGCTGGAAATGGCCCGTTTCCCCACTTCCGGTGGGACCAGAAGGCCCAAAAATCAGTGTCTGGCACGCACATGCACGCTGGAGCTCACTTGCCCACATATATGGCTCCGTGTGCCACCTGTGGCACGCATGCTATAGGTTCGCCATCACGGACCTAGGCAAATCCCTGCTTCTGAGGGCAGGGATTTGGCTAAATGATCCAGGTTAGCCAAATTCTAAAAAAAAAAACCTAAAAAAAAAAACCCATAGTGAATAAAATCTAATTTACATATTCATTTGTTTGCAGAAGGTCTGACATCCATTTTCAAAGCTATCTTTCAAGTTGAAAATTCATGCATCTGATCCTGAATAAGACGCTAGGTTCCATAGCTTTAGAGAACATGTTTCCCTTTTTACTTCAATTGGAAAAGTGATGACATGATCTGTTAAACGTTACAGGTTGATGTATTATCACAAAAATGAGGAACAACTAGAGAAGGGAATATGAATTAGTACTTTAATCTTAGTGTGACAATTGAAACAAATTATTAGAGTTTAAATGCCAGTAGTTAATCAGCATGTTGTTAAGTACTGCATTAGACTAATGATCTTGGATCTTGCTCATGAAACCATTAATTCATTTCCCAGAATATTATTGTACTGTATGTTTCAAATCTGATTACAGGTAAGCTTAATGTTCTTTGGATTTTCTTAGCTGCTTAGATACTGACTTTTGTTTTTTGTTTTGTTTTGCTACATCTGAAGAAAGATAGTAAACCTGGGCTTATACTTCTTTATAACTAAAGTATGTTTGATTTTCATCATGAAATCTCATTTAGTGGAGAGGCATATATGCATTTGACAATTAATATATTGAATCAATTTTCAAGAAATCATTTGCTGAATCAGATACATGCATTACTCTTTTAAATGTAATTTTGCCCTAGGCAATATAGTGAAAATACTTGTCTTCGCAGAACAGTTAGCATTAGTAATATTTTCCCCCAATTTTGGTGTTTGTTTCTTAGTGGGTGTGGGGGAGTGGAGAAAATTGCTATTCAGTCGTGCCCGATTTAATAATTCATCGAGTGCTCTCTATAAAACAAGACACTCGGTTTCAGCTTCAGTAAACAAAGTTCAGGAAAACAGATTACACATTAAAGACCAGCTGCATTGAAAAAATATATCTGTAATAATTCAATACAAACCTATGGTTTTTCAGAAAAAGATAGTTTAGAAGGCACTTGAAACTCACAATATAATCTTTGAGTGATTTAGAAAAAGTTAAGTTAGGTTTGGTCTGCAATCTTCAGGTTTTTCTGGGGTGACAACTCTGCTTGAAGATCAGGTGGCAGCTGTGGTTAAAAGAGCCTTTGCCCAGAGACATCTTGTCTGCAAGTTGTGCTCATTCTTAGATTGGGATATGCTGCTCATAGTCACTCATGATTTGGTCAGGTCCCAAAACTAATACTTCCATGTCAGAAGGACAAGGTGACATAACCTCTGCCTGGGGGATGTCCAGTTGGGGGCTCCTTTCTCATCCTTGTGAAGTTGCCCGCAGAAGTGGTACCCATTGATCTATTTGTGGTCACCAGTTTTCAAACAGCTGGATTGGTGGAAGCTGGAGCAAGTGACAGGAGTTCACCCTGCCCCGTGGCAGAGTCTTGAACTCGAGGCTGCTGATCATCAGCCCACTGTTCTAACCTCATAAATCACTGAACTCCCAGTTCCCAATTAGAGATTGCAATGCACTCCATGTGAAGATGTGCTTCAAGAACATGCAGAAGCTGTGTTGTTCCAGAATGCAGCAGCATAGGCAGTAACATTACATCCGTGTAACATGGCTACAGTGCGGTGATTCCCAATAGGCTTGAGTTCAATTCATCAGGTTTAATGCCCTGCAAGGAACTGATGCATTTTGCTCAATCCTATTAGGTTTGGCAGAGTGATCATGCTCTTGGCAAACTGTGCGCCTCCTGAGGCCACAGAAGTGTGTGTCTTCTTTGTTGTGGTGTCTGCCTTATTCCGTAGGCATCCCTGATAAAATGGATGGTCTCGATTCTGTTGGCCTTCAGGAAAGCAGTGAAGACCTGTTCATGAAGCTAGGATGGTAGTGTTGATTAATGGATGCAAGTTTTATCCAGACCACAATGTCTTTTTTTTTTGTTTATTTATTTTAGGTTCATTGTTCTAAATATACATATATATTTAAAAAACCTTGTTTCCCACCCACAATTCCTTCAGGTAGATGAGCAGCCATGTAAATTTGTTTAAGAAAAAAATATATTAAAATATTTCCATGTACAGGATGTACAGGATGTAGAATAAATGGGTAGTGTGAAATTTGCAATGAGACTGTGTTGTGGCTAAGATCAAAATATCCTGTCTTAGTAAATTGATGCTATCAATTTGGATATTATTTTGTTTCAGTAATTTCAATTAATATTTATTTCATAGGATTTTTACTTTTAAAACTTTGCATTGTGGCTTATTCAATACATATTTGATTATGAGGTAAAATAAATGGTTCAATTAGGTCAAACCTATGTGGAGATACAGAAACCAATAACATTTCAGTTAGTCAAACAGGCTTAGATAAGCTTCATTATGTTCAGTTAGTTGATTCAAATCCTGACTGAATCCAATGTAATAACTATACAAAGGTTTCTAGATGTTTGTCTTTGGAAAATATTTAATGTTATGGTATTTCTTGTGATTAACTGAGATTAAATCATGATAAAATGGAAATGTAAAGAGACAATAGATTTCAATTGTCATATATATAGGAATTAAATTAAAATGCTATGATTCTTATGTGGTAAAGTTATAGAAGCATTAGTTTTTGACTTGTGGTATTAAATGTGAAATGTCATGTATCTGGTGTGTATTTCTTTAGATTTATTACTTGATTATGCTTGCTTGGACTGGCAAAAAATAGCAATAGCAATAGCACTAAGACGTATACAGGGGTGGGATTCTACCAGTTCGGACTGGTTCAGACGAACCGGTAGCTCCGACAATCAGCTGGGAGTGAGCCGGTTTGCTCCGATGATCAGGTCAGCCTGCCCACCCACCCCTGTGCTTTACTTACCTTTATCTTCTCAGCTGATTGGCATGGCGGAGCAGATTGCCAAGCCTCAGCTGTGTTACTCCCAAGTGATAACACAGAAGGTTAGTATTTGTAAAACTGCGCACATGTGTGATCAGCAGACTGGTTGTTAAACTGGCAGCATCCCACCATTGCTTATATACTGCTTCACAGTGCTTCACAGCCCTCTCTAAGCAATTTTACAGAGTTAGCACATTGCACCCAACAATCTGGATCCTCAAATGTGGTATTCCTGAGGCGTAAACTCCAAAGGGCCTGAAATGTGACTCTGAATGTGCTCCTCAATCAGAGGGAATATCAAGATAGCAGCCTTGGTCATGTAATTGAATCTCCACCCACTCATTAAAAGGAGTGAAGCTTTGATTGTGTCTTCCTTGTGGCGGTCACCTTGCCTTTCCTCATTGCACCTTGTAGATATCCTTGCTGTTGAGGCAGTATATTGTGTTTATTTCAGCAACAATCCTAGAAGACATTGTTTACTGCAGGCACATGCAATAAGATCAGGGAGTACAAGGAACTTGAGGCAGCTATGCTGAATTTTTCAGACAATGTAGAACCTTGACGATTCAGCACCCAACTATAGAAATGTATATAAAATGGTTCACCCCCTAGTCATATCTTAGAGAGTCAGTTTGTTAAGCTAACAAACTAGAAACTGATTGAACATCAGTTCTAGTTCTGCCTTAGGCATAAAGACAGATGGGTGACCATGGGCCAGTCACTTTCTGTCAGCCCTAGGAAACTACTTCCAAAATATTGCCAAAAACCTTCAGGAATTAGTCTAAAGCTAATTGAGCAGTCACCCTCAAAACAAAACAAAACCTTATATATCAATGGAGATTCTCAGTCATCCAGTTCATGGCTGTCCCAAAGGTGCTTTCCAAGAGGCAAGAAATGTCCCTGAGAAAACAGACAAACCCGCAAGTGACCTCAATGACTCTCTAAAAGATTTCAAGTGACCAGCTATCTGCAAGGAATATAAATCCTTCCATTCCCCAACATCCAGTCAGAGCTGAAGAAGATTCTTGGATGAGAAGCGAAATGTCTTCAAAGAAATACAAGAAAGTCCAGATGCCTCTTGAAAAAGTACCCTTGGGACATCACCCTTATACTTTAACCAAATTCTTTCAAGGTCACATTCAATTAAAAAAAAATACAAACTGCAGTAAATCACATGAAAAATATTTATTAAAATGATGTGCTCAAACAAAAGTTATTTCAGTTGATAAGATTTCCCCACACCTAGGATTTTTCCTCCAAGCTTAACGCCTAGATTGGGAAAATCCTTGTGAGTTTCACCATATGACTTCCTTCATTATACAGTCCACTTGTAAAATAGCATAAAGGGATGAAAATAAAGCAACTGAACACTATCACCATAGAAGTGAAATTGATGTATTGCACAGTTGAGAGGCAAAATGCATGTGTTTAAAGATGTTTAGAAACATATGGACTTCTGTGACATGCTATAGTGATATCTTCCATGATTTTAGAACAGTGACGAAATAAAGGAATACATTGTGCTCATCATTAGTATTCAAAAAATGTAATTGGAATAGGATTTCGAAGGACCTAGAAAACAAGAATATTTTTTTTTTCCAAAGAGTAAATGTAACAATTTTCTGAACATGCAGTCTTTGATTATATTTTATGTCTCTGTGTGCTTCTCCAACTTAGATTCCAGACAGAACTCAATTATGATGTTCTTGAAGTACACGATGGACCAAATCTTTTGTCACCACTTCTTGGATCTTACAATGGTACACAAGTCCCTCAATTTTTATTCAGTAGCAGCAATTTCATTTATCTCTTGTTTACAACAGATAACAGTCGATCTAATAACGGATTCAAAATCCACTATGAAAGTAAGTATTTTCTCTCTCTCCATATTCTTTGGCAAAATGTACTGCAAATGTTTCCTGACTATATAAAATAAATACTGGCATAAATGTATTTCAAGGTCTTAGCTTTTATTTCTTCCTTGAGGCTTACAGGTTGTGGTCATGAGATTTACACAAACCAGGGAGATTTGGACACTATTACTAATATATTTTCTAATCATAAATATGAAAGATTGATTCTTGCCCTGTGAATAGCCACCCTGACTCATGTTACCTGTAAAGGTGGATGCTCTGCTCCTGAGTTGCTGTATATTAGCCAAGTAATGATATAGGTCTCCAGCTACAGTATCCTAATTACCAGCACTTCCCGCAGGTTAAGATATTTGAGTTGTATAAATGGATTGAATCCGCAATATTTAGGTGAGATAGAAAAGAGTAAATGCACAAACTACAACCTATAAGTAAAAAAAGATCTGGAAAATGTTTACTAGAGTAAAGTGGTGGGTCAGAACATAAACTGTCTTTTCAAACATAGCAGTCAAGATTGTAGGGGAATAAACCCTCCACTGATGACCAGGATAGGAAGTACCAAATAATGACAGCTTTCAAAGCATGGAACTGAAAGAATGGAAAGGTTGAAAGTTTTTATGAATATCTCTACTTCAGAGTGATGAAGGTAATACTGCCACACTGTCAAAACGTAACCTCTTAACTTAAAAAAAATGTTGATATACTACTGGGATAATTATAAAGTTCCAGCTCAGGTCTTAGTGGCTTCCAAAGTCCATAGAATAGACCAGAGGTATCAAACTCATGTTGTCACAGTGGCATCATGTGACGTATCAGGACTTTTTTCTCCTTTGCTAAACCAGACATGGGTGTGGTCAGCACATGACCTATCCAGCCCGCGGGCTGGGAGTTTGACAGCCCTGAAATAGACTAACACTTTGATAGTCATGTCTCCTATTTGTTATGCATTCCTTCCTTTTAAAATCTTCGTGAAAATATATTATATACTGGTAATCCTCAACTTATAATCATTCATTGTAAGTTACAACAATGTTGAAAAAAGGACCTTCTGAACTGAGCTCCCACTTACGACCATCACAGCATCCTTACACCTCAAAATTCAGGTGCTTGGCAACTGGCATGTATGAAGGTTGCAGCATCCTGGGTTCAGATGATTGCCATTTGTGGCCTTCCCAGTCAGCTTCCTTTGAGCAAAGTCAATGCGGGACTTGGGAGTCTCTTAATAACCATATGATTAACTTAATAACCGTAGCAAAAAGGTCCATACAATTGGGTGCAACTCACTTAACAATTGCCTTGCTTAGCAACAAAAATTCTGGTCTTAACTGTGTTCATAAATTGAAAATGATCTCTATGTAGTTAAGTGTCTCATTTAATAGAATAGCAAAATAACAGAGTTGGAAGAAACCTTGGAGGTCTTCTAGTCTAACCCCCTGCTCAATTGGGAAACCCTATACCATTTCAGACAAATCTCTTCCAATCTCTTCTTAAAAACTCCAGTGTCAGAGAACCCACAACTTCTGGAGGCAAGTTGTTCTACTGGTTTATTGTTCTCACTTTCAGGAAATTTCTCCTTAGTTCTAAATTGCTTCTCTCCTTGATTAGTTTCGATCCATTACTTCTTGTCATGCTTTCAGGTGCTTTGGAGAATAGATTGAGCCCCACATCTTTGTGGCAGCCCCTGAGATATTGGAACACTGCTATCATGTCAAGTCATGCTATTATGTTCTTAATTTATTGTGTATTTCTTTTTTTTTCTGAATTTCAGGTGTAATGGTTAATACCTACTCTTGTTTGGACCCTGGTATACCTGTACATGGTCATCGTTATGGGCATGATTTTTCCATTGGATCAACTGTGTCATTTGGATGTGACCCAGGCTATAGACTAAATCACGAGGAGCCTCTGCTTTGTGAAAAGAACCACTGGTGGAGCCATCCGCTTCCAACTTGTGATGGTAGGAATAGTCAACTTTGCCCATATTAATAACAAAGACAAATTCATTATATTTATTGAGACAACAACAGTAACGCTTCCCACATAAACATGATTTTTTTGGGGGGGCAGGAGAGGCCTGTCTGTCTACATGTACTGAATATTACAGGGTCTCTCCAAAACCTTATAATTATATCGGCAATCAGTGATGTAAGCAACCTAATTTGCCAGCTGAGAAAAAGATATTTAGAAATCAATTTCACATCTCTTTCCATTCTGAACAGTTATTAAGAAACAATCCAAGAAACATTAGTTTGTAATGATTTTCTTAACATGGTATGATGGCATTTTCTTCTGTGGGAATAACTATCATACTTGCAGATAGGAGCAATTAATAGTGTGGTTTAACATATTATAGTATACATCTTACAACTTCAGGATTTCCAAAAATATGCACAGTGGCCCCAGAAACAGTTGTAATTTTTATTATCACCAAAAGGAAACCTTATTGGAAGAACTACAATCACATTGTTTTATTCCCTTGGTCCAGCCTATACCTTGAAGGCAAAGTAAGAAACCCACAAACTCAGGAAGCCTTCTTGAGGTTTAAAGAAGTATTTAAGTATTAAATTTTTTTCGTATTTGTTTTAAAAGCACAGGCTTCTATTTATAAGAAAGGTGTTCACTCCCAAGTATGCCTATTCTTGCATACTTACAATTGGAAAGAAAATTGCAATTTTTCAATAGCATACTAAAAAAAATAGATGCTGAAATATGTCCATTAATCTTCTGCAAAGTTTAAAGTGTCTATTTTCACTCCTACATTCAGTCTTTATTTATGATGAGTCTGTAAACGGATGACAGAACCTGGCTGAACTTTTTTTGGTTTACAGGCTAAATAAGACCATACCTAAAAGGGGATAATCTAAGGACTCAGCTATAGATCAGATCAAATAATTAACGGATCTTATGCTATCTAATTTCAGTCCATTCCTACACATCAAATCTCCAATTTCATTATTTTCCTTGTAGTGGGATCAGCAAAGGGCTCTGATTTGTCAATGGTTTCTGAACAACTGAGATTACTTTCCTATTGTAACAACTGAACCTGAAGTAGTAAGGTGGGCTAATGGAATGTGTTCACCAGCCCTTCAGTGCTCTTTTTTGTAACTGAAGAGGAACGTTGTAAGAGTATGTTGAAGCCTATATAGATTAAGCTTCATGGAGCACAAATGGGAATATCTATAGTAGACATATTTCTTTATGCTACAACGTACTACATGTTTACTACCTAAAAATAAACACTAATAAGAAGCTGTCTGTGAAGAGTATTCCCTACTGTGCAATAATGTTACGTATTGTGACAAATGTCTTCCTCAAGTGGTTGAACTAGTGTACAGTTCATTAAGTAAATGAGATTTTCTTTCTTTCTTTCCTTCTAGAACAATGGGATTTGTCCATTGAGTAAACAAACGCTCCCAATTTGTAATCCTGTATCTTTCAGATTGAAATTGGGATGGCTTAGTTTAAAGAGGAAAAGAAACTATATCTATAAATGACCCAATTTCTGTTCCTCAAAAAGCATCGTATAGAATTGCCAGTCCTTGGACCAGCGGAAAAAAAATATGATGCCCCTCCCCATGGCTGAGCCTTATTCGGTCTCAGCAACAAGACTACTCTAAGTCATTATCCTGACAATATAAAAATAATTGAAGGAAAGTAATGAGTTGTTTCCTGGCTTCATTTTCCCTCTGATTGAGCATCACGTTCCAGTGTGGAGAACAACCACCAATCACTCTTCTTAATGGGAGACAGAATGGGGCTGGGCAAGTGTAGGCATGCAGAAATTTACCACAAATTAAACTGCAAGTTTAATCATCTATCAAGTTGTTCAATCATCAGCATCCCGGCTTAAAAAAGGCAGTGTGGAGAAAGCCCAAAAAAAATAAAATAAAATAAAATAAAAATCCATTGTCATGAGGCTTCCTTCTGTTTAATCCCTTCTCTGGTCTTTAGCTTGTTTGTTGGGCAATTTGCAGACAAGGCTTAGTACTTAAAAAAAAAAATTGCTAGACCCATTGCAGAAACCAATGCAACCTGCAATGAGCTCACTAGTGATAAAAATCAGGAAAACTTTCTTTTAACTTTCTTTCTCAGTTTAAATCTACTGTTTATGTATTGTAGCATAGAGGTAGTGTCTCATATATATATGAGACCTGATACGGTAAACACTATCTATCTATCTATCTATCTATCTATCTATCTATCTATCTATCTATCTATCTATCTATCTATCTATCTTTCTTTCTTTCTTTCTTTCTTTCTTTCTTTCTTTCTTTCTTTCTTTCTTTTTCTTTCTTTTTCATAGGCTTTTATGTGCATATTCTTTCTAGCCAGGTTTTACCTACGTAAGCTATGATGTTATGCAGAACATCAGTTTTTCTTCCTGCTTCCTCATCTTGGCTGTTTGGCTGCGTGTTACAGGCCTAGCTTTCTCAGGTTCTCTATTATTATCTGTCTGCTGTAGAGGGGAAAGGATTCTGGTAGGCATCCCAGCACCCTTGATTGTTAGTTGAGATCTCAGCCTGTCTTCTGGCTCGATCCTCTCTCTCTCCCTATTGCTAGCCACCCTCTGCAAAGAGGGAAGAATTCTGGCAGGCCTTACAACACCACTGGTTGCTTGTTGGAATCTCTGCCTCTCTTCTGATGTTAACACTCGAGTTTCTCTCAGTGCAGGTTCACAAATACTTGATAACCTAGAGGCGTCATCCCGTCTGTTCATATTCTGCGGCCTCTTTTCAATTTCGATGGTCTCCCTGATTATTCTTTTGTTGAGATGTTCCTCTTTTGCCACTGTTCTGGTTTTATTAAAATCAATATTGTGTCCTGTGGCCTTCATGTGTTGTACCAAAGAAGAAGTTTGCTCTTCTTTCCTCACTGCATTTTTATGTTCTTCTAAACGCACACTTATTCGTCTATTTGTCTGTCCAATATAAGATGACTGACAGGAGGCACATGGCACTTCGTATATCCCTTGGTTTTCCAACTCAATTTTATCCTTAGGGTTTCTCACCATCATCGATATTTTTCTATCTGTACGGAACACTGTTTTTATTTTTTGTTTCCGTAATATCTTACTAATTTTGTCGGTGGTCCCTTTTATATAGGGCAGGATGGCAGTTCCCATATTCTGTTCTTCTTCTTGGGTTTTGCTCTGTCCTACTGTCCCTTGCTGGATTATAGTTCTAATTTTATTTTCTTGGAACCCATTTTCCATTAATACTTCTGTGAGGATCTTAAGTTCTATTTGTACATGTGCCCCATCTGCTAGACGTTTAGTTCTAGTGATTAAAGTTTTTGCCACTGAACTTATTTGTGAGGGATGATGGTGTGAGTGTGCGTTCAGGTAACAATTTGTATGTGTCTTCTTTTGGTAAACACTGTGCCCTAGAGTGCCATCACTTCTCTTATATATTAGTACATCTAGGAATGGGAGTTGATTTTCCTGTAAAAATATATGTATATACTGTATGTAAAAAGGGACTACCTCTTTCCTTATTTATTTGTATCCTGCCTTTGTATAAATTACTCAAATCCCTTTAATTGTCCATTTGTAACATTCAAAGAATTTCAATTCCTAATACAGATTCCTATCTCAGTCACCTCCCATGGTGCATTACTTAATTACTGTATTTTTTTTTTCAAATCTTACATCAAAAGCAGAACTGTTCCAAATTCTTCTGGTCTCCTAGTCCATTTATAACTTTCTTAAATCAAAATCCTCTTTTCCTGTGCTTTGCCAACTCTTAAGTTTCTATTATTATTTTTTTTGCATCAAAGAAAGAAGGTAAAATTCACCTGGCACTAAAATAAACTTGGGGTTTTGAAAGTCTGTAATATCCGTGCTATGGTTAGATAAATCATTTCCAAAAGTGATTAGAAAGGGAATGCAGCTGGCTTAATCTCCTTTTTAAAGTCTCTCTCATAGCTGAGAGCAAGATAATTAATTTAGTTGCTAAGTGAATTTTGCCCCATTTTACAGCCTTTCTTGCCACCGTTGTTAAATGAGTCATTTGTAACATGTTTATTAAGTGAAACTGGCTTCACCATTGACTTTGCTTGTCAGAAATTCTTAAAAGATGATCACATAACCCCAGGACATGCAACTATCGTAAATACATGTCAGTTGCCAAGTGTCCAAATTTTGAACATGTAACCAGGAGGATGCTACTAAAAAAAAAAACCTGTAGTAAGTCACTTTTTTCAGTGCTGTTGTAACTTCAATGGTCACTAAATGGTTGTAGATTGAGTAGACCTCTTGTTGTCTACATCTTGATTTTTAGTCTAGTGTTAAACTTGGTGTTAATCTCTGCTTATCTGGGTTTTGAGGAAGTGGTTACAACTTTGTTTTCTTTTTGACTTTTTGATTATTTCTTCTTCTGGGGCTGCTGGGCCTTTTGGTTACTTAGGATAGGATAGGATAGGATAGGATAGGATAGGATAGGATAGGATAGGACGGGATAGGACGGGATAGGACGGGATAAGATAGGATAGGGAATGGAATGGAATGGAATGGAATGGAATGGAATGGAATAGAATAGAATAGAATAGAATAGAATAGAATAGAATAGAATAGAATAGAATAGAATAGAATAGAATAGAATAGAATAGAACTTTATTATGGTAATAGACCCGCAATAGACATGACTGTTTACAATATATTAAAAAACAGTACTGACATTAATAGTGGATAATAACATCCCTGTTAAGAAAATACATGTTCTCAAACAGTTAGGGTCACTCCCTAGTTTACGTGAGTGGAGAGCCGATAAGTATGTGAGTAAATATAATTTTCCAAAAATCGTTAAAGATAACAAATTGACAGCTATAATTTTATAACCATTTTTTTTCTTGTGGACATTGCAGCAACACAGAATTTTGACACTGTATGTGTGATAGCCAGATTTGAGTCCTGCAGGAGAAAGCCTAAACAAAAATTGTCTCCCCTCCCTGGCAATCTCTCTAATAAGGGGAGAATACATATCGACTTTTATTTTTTATTTTATTTTATTTTATTTTATTTTATTTTATTTTATTTTATTTTATTTTATTTTAATGCAATTTATATGCCGCTCTATCTCCAAGGACTCAGGGCGGCTCACAACGGTAAAGATGCACAGTTCCTCATTAAAAGCCAATATAAAATTAAAATTCCAATTTAAAACAATATATAGTATATATAGTATAACTCACAGTACAATAAAACATGTGAGATATCTTTGACTTCTTCGATTTACTTAGGATGTTTCAAAGGCCTTTAGTTGGTTCATGGTGCTATGTGATGCCATGTGGCTGCAATTTTCTGTTAGTAGTTTCTGAGATGTTGTCAATGTATGATAGTATTATCCTTTTCAAAGGTTTTGTTGATTGTGCTGTAGTAGCTTGAGCAGTCAGGCAATTTTCGATAAAATAGTATGAGTATCCATTTTGTTGGAAGATGTATAGATGATCTGTTTCCTAAATAAATATGAATATATATGTCCTGTTAACAATGGTGGGTTTCAAATTTTTTTACTATGGGTTCTGTGGGTGTGGCTTGATGAGCGTGGCATGGATTGGTGGGCATAGCAGGGGAAGGGTACTGTAAAATCTCCATTCCCACCCACTCCAGGGGAAGGATACTGCAAAATCTCCATTTCCTCCTGATCATCTGTGACTCGGGAGGCAGATAATAGATGGGGGTAGGGCCAGTCAGAGGTCGTATTTACTGGTTCTCTGAACTACTCAAAATTTCTGCTACTGGTTCTCCAGAACTGGCCAGAACCTGCTGAAACCCACCTCTGGTCCTGTAAAACAAAATAATTTCAATGGTAAAGCAATGGTAATTTAATGGGGAAGGAGGAAAAATCTCAGATCACAACCCAGATTATGGGTTCCCTTGTGGATTCTAGGGACTCATGCCTTGAATCAACATATCATTCTTTTTTGTGCCATATGAGTTTTATTTAATATTTGCTAGATATGATATTATGATTCTCTTTAGTCTGTTTTTTGTATTAGAACTGTTATATATTGTTGTAAACTCTGAACTCCAGTCTTCTGAATGATGTCAAATCTAGAGGTGTATATATTTCATTGAGATCTGCTTTTCTGATCGCAGGAAATTTAGAGTGTGTCTCAATCTTGCAGCATATTTCTATATCTGTGTTAGTTGAGCATAAAGTGGCAAAATGCTGCAAAGCAATGTTTCAAATGATTATTGCTGCTCACAAGCTTTCTAGAGGAACCATAATGTCATAATATTTCTCCGTCAAGAAGCAAACTCCTTTTCAGAACTGATTTTTTCCCTTGTCTGTTTTCATCAGCAAGTTTGATATTTCAGATATATGAGGATATATAGAATATTCCAGAAAAATGCTGGAGAAACCCATCTACAATAGAATATATTGTTATAGTATGCCAGTTTAAATTTAGATATCAAGTATTATGGCAAACCTTTCTCATAATTGGAAGTAGGGTGAAAAAAATGTAGAAGGCATGAAACATTTCAGCATATGCTTTGATTTCCCCAGCCCTTCAAAAATGTATAAGGTATTCAGATAGATAGATAGATAGATAGATAGATAGATAGATGGATGGATGGATGGATGGATGGATGGATGGATGGATGGATGGATGGATGGTAAATAACAGACAGACACAGTTCAACAAGTTTCTGTTGAATTGAACATATACAATTTTCCTGCAAAGAAAGAATTATTTTTCATTCTTCCATTTTTCATTCTTTGAAATCAATCACAGCAATTCAGAATACTTATTAACAATTTTTTTAAACAATTAATGTATTAATTGTGTTCCTTTGTGAGCACTTTGTGTAAATGTCGGTTGCATTTAGAGATTATTCTATTAATTCACTAAGGTCCTCCCAGTTACAGACTGTAGTTTAAGTAGTGACATTAGAAGTTCTAGTTGTTATTTGGGAAACTTATAATGACTACCTATGCTGATGTTCTCCTCCTTACATTCTGGCCTTACATTTCAGCTCTGTGTGGAGGGGATGTTAGAGGACCTAGTGGAACTATTCTGTCTCCTGGTTATCCTGAACTATATCCAAATTCATTGAATTGCACATGGACTGTGGATGTAACACATGGAAAAGGTATGCATTTACATTTCATTTAATCTTGCTTCATATTATGCACCCTTAATGTTATCATTTGAACTGTCAAGAATAACAACATTTTTTTTAAAAAAAATGTTATTTACAGTAGTTTAGTTTTGTTTAATTTACTGTTTAGTTCAGTTTAGTTTTTAATTTAGGCCAACACAATGTTAATGTTTTCCTTTCGTTTGTAAATGAAAAGTGGTAGCATTTTTAGCCCTATTGTTAAATGCCCTCAAAATGTAGAATAATACTCACAAATAGAAAAAAATGGTTTCAGTAAAGATGAGAGACAAAATAGATGAAGAAAGACTCTGAGGGCAAGGATAAAATAAACCTTGTTTAATTTTCTGAGCCCATGGTTGGAATGAAATGTATGAGTTTAATCAGTGATATAATTGGTTTCATGTTAACTATGTGAGTCTAATTTTATTTTTCTAATAGGAGTGCAGTTCACCTTTCACACCTTCCATTTGGAAGATCATCATGACTACCTTCTAATCACAGAGAATCGCAGCTTCACTCAACCACTAGCACGCCTGACTGGTTCAGAACTTCCATCTCCAATCAATGCTGGTCTCTATGGAAATTTCAGGGCTCAATTGCGCTTTATTTCTGACTTTTCAATATCTTATGAAGGATTTAATATTTCTTTCTCGGGTAAGGGAACGAAACAAGCTTTTTTTTTTAGGTCGAAGAAAATGCGATAGTTACCTCAGAGAGAGTCACAAAGATGGGGCATGGTGAGAAGAAGAAATCCAAATATTACCTTTTTCTTTCTGATATGTATTTTTTTTTCTTTAAAAAAAATATTTTGCAGTTGCTTTTGATGTTACTCCCATTACACAGATCTCAGTATGTCTACTGTACTGGTGTTGAAGAAAATTGTAATAAAAGTAAAGTATGTTATTTAACAGGAACATCACAGCACATCAGAGTGGTTTCAAGACCAATTGCAAGACATAATATTCCAAATAAACTCATAAGAAAATAGATCTTGTTTTCAGGGTGCAGAGCTTTTTGGATAATTTTATAAGTTGAACTCACATTCATTTATAGCTCTGATTGGAATCATAAACATGCCTCTCACAGATTCTGTTGAACATGTATGAGCGTGATTATAAACTTCAACTGAATTGTTACCCTGTTTCCCCAAAAATAAGACATCCTCTGATAATAAACCCAATTGGGCTTTTGAGTGCATGCACTAAAATAAGCCTCCGCCTGAAAATAAGCCCTCTCTGAAAATTTAAATGCAGAGCTGGAAATCAGGTAAGACGGCAAGAGGAGCCCCATCTTGTTCCATGTGCCCCAAAATAATAAGACATCCCTGAAAATAGGGCCAAGCGGTTATTTCAAGGTTCAGAAAAATATATGACAGGGTCTTATTTTTGGAGAAACACAGTATTACTTATTTGACCATGCATGTGGTGGTCGGAATATCTGAAGACTAAGCTGATTTTCAGGTACACATGTGTTATCTATAATAAGATAGCAACACTTAATGATTTGGCCTGAGTTAGATCTTTGTCAGATGCTGAAACTTTTTAAATGAGGTGTTGATTTGCTTTTTTATTTCCATCTTAGAATACAATCTAGAACCATGTGAGGACCCTGGGACACCTCAATTTGGAAGTAGAATTGGATTTAACTTTGAAGTAGGAGATACTCTTACTTTCTCCTGTTCTTCTGGATACCGCTTAGAGGGAGCTTCAGAAATCATCTGCCTTGGTGGTGGCCGAAGAGTGTGGAGTGCACCTCTGCCCAGGTGTGTGGGTACGTGGTCAGCTGCTTTCATTTGCTTGTATGTGTAGTCATTGTCCATAAACTTGCAACTATACAGCATGTCTAAGCATGGTGCATACCTATTAGTTTTGGTACAATACAGTGTTTACATTTCTCATGTCTTTTCACTTTGATTTGTCAGGTATTTCTGGTTTAGTATGAAGTCCAATTTTGAGTTTTAATATTCAATTGTTCTATATAACTTTTCTTCTGTTTTATCAACTCGACCTCAAGGATGTGTTTAACATGGAAAGTTTTGAAAAAGTATCAAAATATCAGCTGTCACTTTTGTCTTTGTTCCAGAAGTACAGATGTTCCACAAATTTATTTGTATGGAATTTCTAGTCTTATGGGAGAAGAACAATATTCAGAAAGAAATAACATTTTCAGGATCAAGTAAACAAAGCCAGACCTGTCAAACTGTATAACAATATTTCTGTTTGAAATGAAATATATATATCTATATTTTGCAAAGGTCCATTCACTGTATGCAGGATGCTAGATTGTCCTGGGCAGTTTCCTGAATGTGGAGAATAATTTAAAAGTAGACCATAGCCAAAATTATCCTGTTTCCAAATTATTCATTAGATGACTGGAACAGCATTGCCAATCTTCTAATGGAATAACTCAGTAATTAGCCTCTAATAAATCCAATCTGAAAATATTTAGAAATATCTCGAGTCTTGGTTATCATTCTTGTGTCCAACCATATTTAATTAAAAGAAAATTCCAAAATACCTTGTTAGTGTTTATTGTCATTCATTTACCATTATTCTCCCTTAGAAACAATATATTATTTTAGCTGGACTTAATTTATATTGCCACATATTTTGGTAGCCATGAGGTAAAAAAAGATGTCTAAAAAGAGTGCAGAGAAGAGCAACAAAGGTGATTAGGGGACTAGAGGCTAAAACATATGAAGAATGGTTGCAGGAACTGGGTATGTCTATTTTAATGAAAAGAAGGACTAGGGGAGACATGATAGCAGTCTTCCAATATTTCAGGGGCTGCCACAAAGAAGAGGGAGTCAAACCATTCTCCAAAGCACCTGAGGGTGGGACAAGAAACAATGGGTGGAAACTGATCAAGGAGAGAAGCAACTTAGAACTAAGAAGAAATTTCCAGACAGAACAATTAATCAGTAGAACAACTTGCCTCCAGAAGTTGTGAATGCTCCAACACTGGAAGTTTTTAAGATGATGTTGGATAACTATTTGGGTAGGGTTTCTTGCCTAAGCAGGGGGTTGGCCTAGAAGACCTCCAAGGTTCCTTCCAACTCCATTATTCTATGATGATTTCTATGACATATAATATTTGATGTATCTTATACCTATAAGAAAACTTCTGTGTTTGTGTCTTTCTCTATGTGTCTTAATGGGAGTGAGATTTTTTCCACTTTCTCACTACAGTTTTTTTTTCACCAAGAATCCTTCAAATCAGTTTCAGTAGAAATGTCTGGAAGCCTACAGCTTCCAAAATGAATGACATGAATGGTATTGGAGTTAAGCAGTGGGTAAAAACTGACAAAAAGGTGGTAGGTCTTGCCATAAAGGTCCTATGAGTCCTGTAACTTATAATAATAATGACACTAATCCAACTGCTGTACTCAGTAGAGGAATTTTAATCAAATCATGGCTGACCCACGGCTGTCAAGAACTTCGTTTAATTTCTTCTTCTGATTAGTTTTCTTTATAACAGTCTAAAGTAGGTTGCATTTTTAATCCTAAAATCCAATCTGTCTCTTATAATAACATTCTCTTTATGTTCTGGTTCACTGTTTCCCTTCACATTTTAAAACATGCCCAACATGGAGAAAAAAAGCCACATCTTCTTTACACTTTTAGAGTAGAGCTTTTATAGCTTTTTTTATTTAAAAAAATCTCAAATTTATAGCCCCTAAAGAATGGCAATTGAGCAAAAAGTTTTAATTTGAATTTCCTTGCTGAAACTATGTGGAAACCTAGAGGAAAGCTATAGAAAATCCAGACACTCGTAGAATTTGATTGATTGGACGAAGTGCGAAAATACAGTCTGGAAACAGTTCATACAAAATGATTCCAAAACTTATTTTAATTGATGAATAAGGAAATGCAGCTGATAAAATGATATTTTTTCTCTCTATGCAGAAGATCTAAACAGCCATGTTTTCTATACTTAGTTTTTAAAAAGCATGAAGCCTTGTGTATATACTATATGTAACATTCTCACTAGTATTTTAAAATAAATCTACCACACAAAATTAATGTTTGGAGGGTACTTTCTTCCCTCTGTGAGAAAACTGCTTGTTGAGATAATGTTATGTCAGAAACACTTGTTTTTATCTACAGTTTCATGCATGTGTTCAGACAACCGTTCAATGTGATAATAAATATAATCTTGTCCAGTGATAGCTTTGATATGTTATGATAGTGCTTGTTTAGGTGTTTTTTTCTTATTATAAAAATAGCCTTCTCTTCCTAGAATAAGGAAAGGTGGCTATAAATGGCCACAAACTAGTTAATCATCAGTTGAAAGGTTCATCATCAGATGTTTTCAGGGGTGATACAGAATATAAGGAAGAATATCTTCATAAGCAAACTCTGTTACCAAAAACAAGTTATAAAACAGGTTTTCGGTTCACCAATACAGATAGTATCCAGAAGTGGCTCAGACAGATTCTTCCCTACTTTACAGGAATATAGAAGATAGAAGAAGGTACAGTGGTATCTCGATACATGTTAATTGCTTCCAGATAGTCCGACAAGTACTAGAAAGGACAAACCACATGATTTATTTATTTATTTGTCCTTTTGTTTTAGCTTGGAATAACTTTCTGGCTGTCCCTTTTCCTATGTCAGTGACCTTCTGAGCATGGTCGACTTCCTTTCCATCCTCTGTGGCTGTTCCCCTCCTTTTGCAGTAACTTTCCCAGAATGGCTGACTTCCTGTCTATTCTCTGCAGCCATCCTCCTCTTCCTATCGCAGTGGGTTGAGTACTAAACAAACACCAAATACTGGGACAATATTTTTGCATCAAAATGCATCCAGTGCCAAATTTGACGAGTTTTGAAGCAGTTGTGTACCGATGTACCACTGTATAGAATAAGATTTGTAAGATTGTTAGTATAGCCAACCTTATTAAATGTAGTCTTACGTTAAACCTAATGAGGTCTGGTCAAAAAAATTAAAATGGTGTGACATATATGAAAACCAGATGGACTGACAATCACATGATTTCACCCAGGATCTTGGCTTCTTCTTTTAGAAGAAGTGGATATCATAGATATTTGAAGGCTAGGCCTGATTATTATCTACTAGAGTATAAGGAAAGACAATGATTCCAGCATAAGCACCAAGAAAACTAGAAACAATTTTAAACAGCTATGTACTTCGATCTATTCTGCAAAGCCCCAGAAGGCAGGACAAGAAGCAATGGGTGGAAACTAATCAAGGAGAGAAGCAATTTAGAACTAAGGAGAAATTTCCTGACAGTTAGAACAATTAATCAGTGGAACAACTTGCCTCCAGAAGTTGTGAATGCTCCAACACTGGAAGTTTTTAAGATGATGTTGGATAACCATTTGTCTGAAGTGGTGTAAGGTTTCCTGCCTACGCAGGTGGTTGGACTAGAAGACCTCCAAGGTCCCTTCCAACTCTGTTATTCTATTTTATTCTATTGTATTTCTCTTGAAGGAACCTTGCAAACATTTCAGGAAAATGAAATGAAATCAAAATGCTTAAAGGAGAGACGTTTTACTTAGGCTAATATGCTTTCAGAAGCATTATTAGGAAAGGGAGGCATCCAGATTATTTACATACATACATGCAATGATTTTCACAGCCCTACGTATTTTTTTACTGGAGTGGCCAAAATAAATGATATCCTAATTTTAGTGATGACTTTGAGTGAGGTGGCATTCTAGATCCCTGACTTTCCAAACTTCTATTGCTCTTCATTGTATTAATACTACTACCATTATTACAACCAGGTATTTTCATTACTCTCTTCTTTCTTTAACTACAGTGTAATTCATAAGGATAAATTACACTTCTCCTGCATTATAATCCCCTTTAATAAAGTATTCTCTAAAGTCATAGTTTCTGTTTTTTTATTCTTTTTTCCCCTATCAGTTTTGAAATACAACTCTTTCTTACCTGTCATTACTTCTGACATTCACCCCTGTGCTTAATTCTTTTGAATCAACAGTCTTTTTTTTTTCTTTCCAATTCTGTACATCTCTCCCAAGGTATCACCATTTCTTTTTTATTTCTGCTTTCAGAAATTGTCCACAGAAATAAATAGAGGGGAAAATAAAACACAAGGGACACAATATAAAAGAAGAAGATGAAGAAGAATTTGAAAATGAACGGGTTTTTTTTGTTCCTTAGAATTATATATCAGGAATTTTACGTTGACCAGTCAGGACAGTTATTAAATTGCAATGCAATTTCATGTATGATTTCTATTCAGTTACACACTGAATTCTGTTTTACCTGCAGCTGAATGTGGAGCTTCTGCCACCACTAATGAAGGAATATTACTGTCCCCCAATTATCCCCTCAACTATGACAACAATCATGAATGTATTTACAGCATTCAGGTGCAAGCAGGGAAGGGAATTAATATTTCTGCCAGAACATTCCATTTAGCACAAGCAGATGTTCTTAAGGTATGTTGGATATTGGGAGGGTTGTATTTATTTCTGCAAATAGATGCCATTAATCAGGCTATCATAAATTATTTCAAGTTGACCAACAAGAAAAAAGTAAAATAAATTTTGCTTTTTATTTTTTTTTAAATAGCTAAAACAATAAATAACAATGAGTTATTTTAAATTATTATTTTATTATGGATTTAGGCTGCATAAGGATGCATCTCTGCATATGTACACCTATATAATATATTAAGAGCAGTCTATACAGGTAATCCTCAATTTACAGCAAATTGTTTGGTTACAATGGCACTAAAAAAAAGAAACTTAAGACTGTTTTTCACACTTAAAAAGGTTGCAGGTTTCCATGGTTACCTGATCAAAATTCTGATGCTTGGCAACTAATTTGTATTTATGATGGATACAATGTCCCATAGTCATGTGATCCCCTTTTGACAAGCAAAGTCAATAGGGAAGATAGATTCACTTAACAACTATGTTGCTAACTTAACAACTGCAGAGTCAGGATTGGAAGCCATCTTTTGTATTAGGCCTTCAGACCTGCCACATTTACTACTGTGGGAAACCGGGAGGGGGGATTGCATGCAGACAGGGTGATATGTAGTCATAATAGCATTCCTTTCTCAAGACGTCAAGGACAACTTGCCCTGTACCTGGGAGCCTGGACCTGGGAGGTATCTCCAGTTGGGACAATGTGTGATTGGACCATGTGATGGACTTGTGGGTGTTTGGCAGGGACTTGAACTTTCTTTTGGGTGGGGAAAACCTGGAAACTTTCAGATTCGGCTTTTCCCAGATGTGCCAATATGACATCTCTAATAAAATGGAACTTTGAGAAAACTCAAGCCTCAGAGTTTTCTTTTGTTAGAGGTGTTACTTGGAATCCTGACAGTGATTCATTTAACAACTATGGCAAGGAAGATCATAAAATAGGGCACAAAACTGACTTAACAACTGTCTCTCTTAGCCACAGAAATGTTGGGTTCAATTGTGGTCGTAAGTCCAGGACTATCTGTACTGAATTTGTTTGCCTAACGGCAGCCAATACATTGTTTTTCAAATTTGCTAATAAGGATTGATTCAAGGAAAGTATGCTGCTAGACATCTTGGGGACCCAAATATTTTATGTATTGTCTTTTTAAGTATATATTTGTCTAACAATTAACATTAATATTGTAATCCTAAAGATTACATTACCTAGGGAGATTTGGGGTGCATTGAGGACCATATATGTGATAGTTTGAAATAACAAAGGTTATATCCCTATTCAGAAATATGTGTTAAAGGTTTTGGTGGAACTTATAAGAGAATTCTCTGTTTTATTTTATGAAAATTTTTTATTAGCAAATGATTCTTATTTAGATTTAAGGTGCAATTGATTTAAAAGTCTAAGAAAGGTTTTCTCAACAACAACAACTACTACTACTACTTTTGAAATGGGAGGACTTTAACTGCCAAAATTCAGGAGTTCCCCAGCCAGTGAAGAATTCTGGGAGTTGGAGTCCACCAATCTTAACACTGTTGGAGTTGAGGAAACACTGGTCTAGGAAGATGCAGAACATTATACAGCACTAAAGAATGTCAAATTAAGTATCAAAGTAAAACTCTTCACAGAATTATTCCATCATTTCCAATCTGTTGAAATGAAACTTATTCTGAGTAAATTTACCCAGCCTTATGAGCTGAACTTTAACAGAATGTACATTTTGTGTATATAGTAGAGTATAGGTACAGTTATATTTCATTATTCCAGAATGCTGCTATAAGCATTTTTATCATAAAAATATCAATCAATTAATCATTCCGTGAAAGATCATATTGACCACTGTTTAAAACGAAGTGGATAATGCCATATAGGGTATCCTTGAAAATATTCTTATTCTGGTCATGTTTGTTTTTCTTTATTTGCTTTCTTTCTTTGATATCTGAAGATTTAATGGGATTAAAACTAGCTTTGAGTTTTGAGATCAAAACAGAGGTGGGATATTAAAATGAAGGTGTTAATTGGATGACATCTGCATACTTTTCTGTAAAATAAATGCATCAGCAATCAGTTTATGGCACACTAACTCCTGGGTTTAAAGCAGAGGTGGTGGTGTTAGTTCATGCAAACCAGTTATTTAAAAACTCAATTTGATAAAATTTAACAGCCCAGACAAGAGTTTGAATTTGGACAAGATAGTTCTGGATCCATATTGATTTCAGGAAAAAGCTGTATCATTTTGATATCCAGCAGTACTGTGGTCCTTGACTTACCACCAATATTAGGTAGGACCAGAATTTCTGTTGCTAAACAAAAGTGAGTTAAGTGCGTTGCACCCAATTTTACAACCCTTTTTGTTAAGCAACTCACTGCAGTTGTTAAGTGAACCAAGCAGTCAGAAACCAGCTGCGAAGGTTGCAAACGGTGATCATATGATCCCATCTTAAATGCAACCATCATAAATACATGCCAGTTGCCAAACACTCATATTTTTTATCAGTGACCGAGAGGATGCTGGTCATAAGTGTGAGCATTGGTCATAAGTCACTTTGTTCAGTGTTATTGCAATGTTGAATGGTCATTAAATAAATAGCTGTAAGTTGAAGATAACTCCTTACTGAGCTCTGGATAATAAGACCTTTAGATATACAACAAATGTCTTGTTTCCCTTCCTAATTGAAATTTGAGTGGTATCTGAGCTACTCTTATTCATTTATTTATTTTATTTTATTTATTTTATTTTATTTTATTTTATTTATTTTGTCAAGCATGCATTTTATGACAGATACAAGTTTAAACATAATTATAAATACATGAAAAGGATACAAATAAAAGAAAACATTAGGACAGGGATGGTAGGCACGCTGGTGTACTTATGCACGCCCCTTACAGACCTCTTAAGAATGGAGTGAGGTCTACAGTAGACAGTCTCCCAAATAGCAGATGTCCATGGAGATAATCTTCTGTTGAGCTTCTTGCAACCAGAATTGAAGGTATACCTGTGGGCATGGACAAGGACAGTTTGGCCTGGGTTAAATTTGGGTTCCAGTTGAGGACTAACTGGGCACCCTCCACCCTGGAATCTAGAGGAAGAACTGCTTTAAACCTGAGGTTCTACCTATGCTTTCCTGGGAATACGTCTCATGGAATCTCATGAATCCTCATGTCCAGAGGTAGTTGTTGTTTAATGTACTGTATTTCATAAGTAATTGGTATGCTTGCATGCTTTGATTATAAATATATGGAACCACACAAGGGTAAATTTTGTGTTTGCTGTAAGTCTTGGAACAGGTCAATAATCTGGCATGACAGAGTTTCTAGGACTGCTCTTTATTGTGATTACCTAGAATAACAGAATCTCAATAGCCTCTTTAAGTTTTTCTCTGTCACATCTTATACTAAAGAAAATGGAGATGGAATTATTATATGAGATGAATCTAAAGACAGGATCATCTTGTCTGCCAGTCCCCCTTAATGATTCATTTATTCCTTTCCTTTTCTCAAGATCAAGCTCTATGTCACTTTACAGACTGTAGACAAATGTAAACTATCTCTTGAAATTTGGGGAAAGTTATTAGAGCCTTTGCTAAATTAATGCCATTTTTTAATTTAAAAAAACCCAACATCTAGTAATTGCATATTTATAACATCACATAAGTTTTAATAAAGTAACCCTCCCCCCCCTCTCTCTGTCCCTTCCTCCCTCCCTTTCTCTCACTCCTCTGTATGTTGTATGAACCAACATATCTGGCAGTTTATAATTCAGGGTTTTAGGTGAACCCATAAAATGGGTTAATTTAGTAACCAAGCTAAGTCTACGAAGTGAACATAATCCTTATCTTTTTAAGAATTTCTTGTGCTCCCCTTATTTTCCAAGGATATCTGCAGGGGAGTGGAAATTGTTTAAGATAATAAATAAATTGGTACTTCAAAGCCAACCACGCAGCCTAGATGTCTAATTTGCATATAGATTACAATGTCCTTTAGACTTATAGCTAGTTTGTTTGCTAGTCCCACTGCAGTCATTTGCTTTGTTTTGATATCAGTATATGAATTAGTAAACTGTTTTCATAGAAATAAACTTCAGAGAGTCTTTTAATACGACTTGAAAAGAGAAAATGAGTGCCATCATTAAAATGCTGACTCTCAATGTAAACAGTTGTTTACAACTTGTGAGCTGAAGTGGAAGTCCTACCTTTGTCATGGATTTTTTTTAAAAAAAGTAATTTGGCATTTTTTAAAAAGTACTAAGGCTCTTGAGATAATATTCTGTGTTATCAAACTGAGTAAATTCAGCAGTCCTGATCTATCTCAGTTTTGTGTTTACTCTCTGTTTTGTGCTTATTGAAATTATCTAAAGTCAATTTGCTTTTTCAGATATACGATGGGAAAGATAATACAGCACATTTGCTGGGTGCATTTACTGGAGCTTCTCTAAGAGGACTAACACTGAGCAGTACTTCAAATCATCTTTGGCTTGAATTTAATTCAGATGCTGAGGGTACAGATGAAGGATTTCAGCTCGTATATACCAGTAAGTATTTCAGAAAGTAAAATAAAGAATCAAGTAAGAAATGATCATGACCTTTGTTTTGCTGTGGTAGCACAGTCGTTAGAATGCAATATTGTGAACTGACTCTGCCCACTGCCAGGAGTTTGATCCTGACCAGCTCAAGGTTGACTCAGCCTTCCATCCCTCTGATGTCGGTAAAATGAATACCCAGATTGTTGGGGGCAATATGTTGACATTGTAAATCACTCAGAGAGTGCTGTAAAGCACTGTGAAGCATAAATAAGTCTAAGTGCTATTACTATTGCTATAAACTTGATGAAAACAATGCACTCCAAGTTCATCAGAAATAATATTGAATAGACATTATTAGAAAGAGTTTCATAATATGTCATCCAAATGTATGCCCAAGTTAATATATATTGACTATTAACAATAAATATATAATAAGGCATAATATCAGAAAAAATATGATAAAGGGGATGTATATTTGATATTGCATGTTTTAACAGCAGCAAGAATTGTATTTGCACAACATTGGAAAAGTGAGGAAACATCTATGGAAGAAGATATAATTTTAAAAATATTGGACAGAAATGGACAGATTAACACTGAAGATAAAAGAAAAAGAAGACACAGAATATTTTTGAATTTGGGATTGTTTTATCAATGGTTGGATAAAAAGGGTAGAAATTAGGAATTTAAGAAGTATTACTATGTAAACGAACTGACCCAGACAGTATGCTGTTGATTAAGCACATATTGTATGTAAAGAGAAAACAAATTATGATCAATTTGTCCAATGGATGGTCAAAATGTCTGGCCGGAGATAAAGAAGTCTTTTAAAATTTTCTATAAATTTTATCAATTTTTCTTTCATCGTCAAATCAAAATATTATAGTACACTAGCCTAGGAAATTAAATATTGACGCCTAGTGCTTTACAGCACTCTCTGGGTGGTTTAGAATGTCAGCATTATTTGCATATCGCTCCCAACAATCTGGGTCCTCATTTTACTGACCTTCAGAGGACAGAAAGCCGAATTAACCTCGAGCCCCTAAGGATCACACTCCAGAGTGTGGGCAGAGTTAGTCTGCACTATGGCATTCTAACCACTGCACCACCAGGGCTCAAATGATACATACATGCATAGCTAGAAAAAAATAAATCATTGCATTAAACAGTCTACTTTTAAATTATGATCTATAATTTTGGGGAAAAAATCCTAGCTTGGATTTTAACACTGTTGATTTTCTTTCCTTCCTTTCATAGGTTTTGAACTTTCTCACTGTGAGGATCCAGGTGTTCCACAATTTGGATACAAAATCAGTGACCAAGGCCATTTTGCTGGCAGCACTATCATTTATGGATGTAATCCTGGTTACACTCTCCATGGGAGCAGTCTTCTAAAATGCATGACTGGAGAAAGGAGAACTTGGGATTATCCCCTGCCATCTTGTATCGGTAATCAGTTTCTTATTATCAGAAATATACTTCTATCACTTTCAATCAATCAGAATAGAACTTTCGAAGTCTTCTAGTCCGACCTCCTGCTCAAGCAGGTTGGACTAGAAGACTTTGAAAGTTCTATTCTGATTGATTATTGTCTGACCATTTCAGACAAGTGACTATGTAGTCTCTTCTTAAAAACCTCCAGTGATGAAGCACCAGAACATCTGATGACAAGCTGTTCCACTGGTTAATTGTTTTCACTGTTAGGAAGTTTCTCCTTAATTCCAGGTGGCTTCTTTCCTTGATTAGTTCCATCCATTATTTCTTGTCTTGCCTTCTTGTGCTTTGGAAAATAAGTTGACCACCTCCCCTTTGTGGCAACCTCTCAAATACTGGAATACTGCTATCATATCCCCACTAGTCCTTCTTTTCTCTAGACTAGCTTTGCAAAGAAGTACTTTTATTCTTATTGTTCTTCACTTGGTGAACTTTTTTTTTCTTTTCTCTCAAAACAATGTTGTAAGGTAGATTATACGGAAGGATGATGATTGCTCAAGTCCCAACTGACGTTTATGAATAAGAAGACATTTCAATCAAGTCTTTTTTTATTTTACTGACAAACTCCATCATAACCATGGAGTAGCATTGAATACACATTACACACACACACACACACACACACACACACACACACACACACACTTATATGTATGAGGAGATTCTGAAAATTGTTCTCCTAGAACATGAACACATTTTGTCTCTTCTTCATTCCTCTTTTTTATTCAAACATTTATTTTTTTAAAAAAAGTATAAAATACAAAAAAAACAAACAAACAAAGGAAATGAGTTAGAAAAAAAGGAAAGGGATAACTAAAAGCATAGTGAGTACAAGCAACAAGAACAAACTATAAAACAAAGGAACTTCTGAGTTTCTTTGAAACAGAGAAAAACCTATAAATCAATGACTGCTTGAACTAGAGTGAACCTAACCAAGAGTACTTCTATCATCATAAATAGATGTAATCATCAAAACCCAAAGTTAAAATCTCATTTTTTTTCCTGTTGCACTTAAAGCATTCAAGATTTACTTGTTCTTCATCATTGTTTCAACAGTTAAAGGCGTCGAGTGATTATATAAATAATTAGAAGGGTCGGATACTCTTTTATTTTCTCTTCGCCTATTGATCCCAATCAATATTGGAAATGGAGGAGAATGATATACACTCTGCATATTACAAGTAGTCCTCACTTATTGACCAGAATTGGGACCAGAAATTCCATGGCTAATGTTAAATGCAACATTACAACATTACCAAACTTATAATACCAGTTCTGACTGCAGTATTAAATTGCCACAGATCATTGGGTACTTAAGTCATTAATTGGCAATTTCCTATAACCTTCCCCATTGATTTTGCTTTTTGAAACCCATCTGGGAAGGCCACATCTGTGGCCTTCCCACAGATGGTTATAGGTTGATATTGTTATAGGTTTGGAATGAAACACCTCCTATTCTACATGTTTCAGTTACTGTAGAAACATCCTGATCAATATTTATCATAAATAATTGCAATTTTCCACTTTGTTTTTATCAGCTGAATGTGGAGGTCGTTTTAAAGGAGAATCTTCTGGAAGAATCTTGTCCCCCGGCTACCCCTTTCCTTATGATAATAATCTGCGTTGTACGTGGATAATCGAAGTAGATCCAGGAAACATTGTCAGGTACTCCAGGACAATCTTAACTGATAGACTAAGAAAAAAAAATATTTTGGAATACAAAAACTAAGAAATCTGTCTGGAATCCATTTATTAGTGTAAATTTTCCCTTTTATTCAGAATTTAATGTTATATTAAAGTTATATTATTTGGGAAAACAACAATATAAGTATAACTGGGATAGTGCTTGGCAGGTGGAGTATAGTAATTTTATCTTCTATATTATCTGGTGGGCTAAAATGATTTACCGCAGTTTTGGGTGAACAAACATTTGTTGCAAATCTGTATGGACTATTATAATTGGAGGGTTGGGTCTGGGTTGATGATTGATAAAAGGCTGATAGTTGTTTAGAATCTCTAAGACATAATGAATGGCTTCATTGATTTACTTTGCCTTCCTTCTGACTCCTTGTCCAGCTGTGGTAGCAGCTACAGAAGTTATTATACTTGTACAGAAGCCTCATCTGACATTTTTGTTCAGTGCCAGAAGAAACTTTGGTGTATGCATTGCATGTACTGTACATCAAATGTTTTCTCACATTAGATCTACATAGGTAAAGGTAAAGGTTCCTTTTGCACACTTGTGCTAGTCGTTCCTGACTCTAGGGGGCGGTGCTCATCTCTGTTTCAAAGCCGAAGAGCCAGCGCTGTCCGAAGATGTCTCCGTGGTCATGTGGCTGGCATGACTAAATGCCAAAGGTGCACGGAACACTGCTACCTTCCCACCAAAGGTGGTCCCTATTTTTCTACTTGCATTTTTTACATGCTTTCGAACTGCTAGGTTGGCAGAAGCTGGGACAAGTAACGGGAGCTCACCCTGTTACACGGCACTAGGGATTCGAACCACTGAACTGCTGACCTTTCGATCGACAAGTCTTAGCCATTGAGCTACCGCGTCCCTTTAGACCTACATAAGAATCTTCAAATCAAGGCATAAAGATCCATTGAGGAGAATCTCCAGTGAAGAAAACAATGCTGCTCATCACCTGAAAGGCAGACCTCTTTATGTAGACCTTTTAATTATCAATCAAGTATCTTTCTCCCCTACACAATCCCTTCTAAGCTGTAACTCCTAGTAGCATAGATTTAGTTGCAATTATTTAATTTATTTATTTGAATTGGACATTAATATTTGGTGTTTTTTTTAACAGCCTCCAATTTCTGGCATTTGATACTGAAGCCTCACATGATATCCTACGTGTCTGGGATGGACCCCCTGAAAATGACATGCTGTTGAAAGAAATTAGTGGCTCACTTATTCCAGAAGGCATCCACAGCACTCTAAACATAGTGACAATACAATTTGACACAGACTTCTATATCAGCAAATCTGGATTTGCCATTCAGTTTTCAAGTAAGTTAATATACACGTGTGGCTCTAAGTAGTCCAAAATCTAGATTTTTTTTAAAATGTTGCAAAAATTTCCTTCTAGATTATAGATTAATTAGCCAATGATTGTATATCTGTCTGGCTATCTGGTTTTCTTTGTCCCTTCCACCCTTGGTGACTGTTGTGTTCGGCAGCTCCCGGCAACAAGGGACGCTGCCCGGGGATTGGCTAAGAGGTGTGGCCTCGTAAACGCGGCAGTATCTGTGTTTGCTATTGGTTGTGCTCTGACAGCTAGTTGGTATTTTAAGAGCTGTCATGTTACCTCAGAGTTAGCCCTGTTGTTTTTTCCAGCCTGTTGGCTCATAATAAAGGTTCTTGTTAACACCATCAGTCCCAGTTAATGCCTGCACTAAGAATATAATAGTGACCACAGTCTTTCCAAAGGCCAAAAAGATCAGGGCTGTGAAGACTCAGGATTAAAGTATGTCATAATTCAGACACTGACAAAGAGAAACCATAGTTCCTCAGTCCAAAGGTTGACCCTTTTAACAGAAGGGATCTGGAGAAATACTCTTGTAGGATATGGCAAGACAGACAGAGATTCTCAGATATAGGCAGTCCCAGAATTAGCTTGGCTCTGCCTTATAAAAAGGTAAAGGTTCCCCTCGCACATATGTGCTAATCGTTCCTGACTCTAGGGGGCGGTGCTCATCTCCGTTTCAAAACCAAAAAGCCAGTGCTGTCCGAAGACATCTTCATGGTCATGTGGCTGGCATGACAGAATGCCAAAGGCGCACAGAATGTTGTTACCTTCCCACCAAAGGTGCTCCTTATTTTTCTACTTGTATTTTTTACGTGCTTTCGAACTGCTAGGTTGGCAGAAGCTGGGACAAGTAATGGGAGCTCATCCCGTTACATGGCACTAGGGATTCGAAATGCTGAACTGCTGACCTTTCAATCAACAACCTCAACGTCTTAGCCACTGAGCCACTGCGTCCCTCTGCCGTATACAGGACTTTAAATTGCATCTGGAAGCATAACAATAGTATAAATCCAAATAAATCATGGACTTTCCAGAACGGTGTATACTGACTTAACTTATAGTGAAGAGGTCTAGAACTAGAAGACAGGTTTTCTTGGTTTTAGGCCCTATGTTATGTGGAACACTATCCCTAATAAGTAATTGGCTCTCTCTCTCTTTTTTTTTCATAATAGAAATCACTTTAAATTATCCTGTTTATATACATGACCCACAACTGGCCATCTAGGGGCAGTCTGTAAATCTTTTAAATTAAAATGAATTAAATAATACAACTTTGTTGTATTTCCCAAGTCATACAAGCCGGCATAGATCAGTTTACTGCTTCTAATATTAAAATTAACACTTTCAAGATAAAGTTAGTTGATATATTAGTTGGTCTTTCATATGATCTAATTTATTCCAGGTTCCCAGATTTCTTTTTGATGAACAAAACTGTATTTTATTAAACTTCAAAAAAAGTGTTTTCTTTTCTTCATCTAACTCAAATGCAGTATCATAATATCAAAGAACAAGACTACTCTGCCACAATTTCATTTTATCTTTCTTATTAATCCACTCTCTTTTGCTAATGTTTTCCCTTTCATTAAACTTATTTAAAGTTAACGTTTGATTCAGTGGAAGTACAAAATGCTCAGTGTGTGGCCAGACTGAAAATTAGTATGATTCAGTAGCTTTGATTGTTGACAATCAAACTTCTTTGAAGAGTCAGATTGCTGAATTTGTCTTCCCTATCTCATGAAAGACATGAAGAAATATATTGGGATACTTTTGAACCAAATTGTGCAGCAGCTTTGTGTCAGTCAGGCGTGTTCCAGGTTTGTGCTGCCAATACAATAAAATAATTAGAAGTCTTTTAAAGGAAGCAAAATTAGCAGAAAACTCAGGTTGAATAGATATATTGGTACATGACTAAATGTAGAATCTCTGTATAAAAGAAAACCAGACTTCTATCACAGTAAGAACTTCTGACCAATGTGGAGAACCTTTGCTCTAATTATCAGGCTTTCATATGCTGTCCAATACATGACATGAAAATTAAAGTGCATCTAAGTTTCAGCATACATCTACTTATTGATAATTAAACATTGATCTCTCTCTCTCTTCATCCCGTAACTTTTTTAGACCCAAATCATTAATTTGTGATGTTGATAGCAATCTATTTGTATGGTAGAAGATGCAGTTGTTAGTTTAGAGTAGGCATGGTGAAAAAAATCAAATTCACATTCATGCTGGTGTGATTGAAATTCTGTGATGCTCTAAAAATGGCACCATCTTCAGAACTTCAAGTCACCATTGAGGTCAGCAACTTAATATTCTGATCACATCTTTTGAACATTCCTGCTTGAATTTGAACCATCCATTGGGAGAATATGGTTTTTCCTGGCACACGGTGAGCACCAGCAAAGCTAACAAAATATTGGCTTCAGTAGTTGAAGGAGATAGTGCCAAACAAATTACTCACATTTATCGTTTTGTAATCTTTAAACTGGAATATTACATACAGGAAATATGGACATGTGGAAATGATGGCAAAATAACAGATCGCACAAAGAATAAACCAGACTAAAGGTTTAATTCTTCTTAGAGCCTATGTGTTTCCTTGTTTGGAAATTAAAACAGAACCAAATGCTAATCTCATCACGACTGTAGATGTACAATTGGAATTAGCAGATTTGCATGAAAATAATATGATTATATATATATATATATATATATATATATATATATATATATATATCAAACTCTGAACTTCTGTTTTCTAAACTAATATATCCCACTACTATGATATGAAAAGCAGTTCAATCAACAAGTGTGTTTGTTTGTATCTGTCAAATGGTTAAGATGATGAACGTAACCATGAGATTACAGTTTTGTGCTTGACCAACAATGCACACAAACACAGGTGGTGCTTTCAACTCTTATGGCTGTGACTTGATTTATTTTTTTTTTTAAAAAAAAAACACTTTATGGATAATCTAACTTAGTTTAAACTTTGTGGGTATTTTGCCTTGCATTTCTGCAGCCAGTTTTATTTCTATATTGAATAATGTTAACCACATTTAGTCAGAAGTGTTCTTCATAATACTGATTAACCCTGGTAAAATTGATGAAATGGATGAGATAAGAAGGAGTTGCTCACAAGATTGTTGAGATTTTCAATCATGCTGGCTAGCAAATATTACATGGGAAGTGGGGTGGAGGGTATATAAAAAAAAGCACAATAATTCATGAATAGGAAATGGTCCTGAATCTACGAGTAGAACCTTTCAAGGAAATGATTGAGAATTAGTCTTGGGAAAAAATGTTTAATATTTCATTTTAATAACTTTGGCAGCGGATAAAGCAATGTATTCATGCAATTTCATAATGGCATAAAGTTGGGAGTCATTGTTGAGACCGATAGTGCTGAGAGATTAGGCAGATAGAACTTCTTAGAATACAGTAATTGAAAGGGATAAAATTTCATCATACAAAGTACTTAAATGGAACTTTTCCTCTCCCCCTCTGTCTGTAATTGTATTTTGGAGATGGTAGACATACAGGAGATCTTGGGATTTATCCATCATAGAATGATGAATCATGAATGTGAAGTAGCTACAAACAAAATAAATATTATTCTATAGTATATTAAATGAGTAATTCCAGGATGTGCAGGAAAATTTCAGTGGTACTATGCAAAACATTTTGTCTTTAGTTCTTCGTGGAAACAGAGAAAGGGAAGGAAGGAAGGAAGGAAGGAAGGAAGGAAGGAAGGAAGGAAGGAAAGAAGGAAATATTTTGGTAAAAACAGCTGTCATTATATTTTATTCAATTTTCCAACAAGAAGTATGTGCAGCTATATTTAAACTTCAAATTAATCTACAGAATTTTTTGTCTAATTTTAAAAGTTTATAAAAGGTGACTCCGAAAAAGTATAGAGTACAGAGAATAGATACTGTAGAATAAATTAACAACAAAAGCTTCATGTAAAAAGCAGTCTTAAAGAGTAAAATAACCCAGAGTTTACAGATTGTTGAATCAATTGGGGATGTGATCTCACCTGGAAGTGCCTGATTTTCTGTCTTTGCAGAAAATGCTGCAAAAGATATTAAATAGGAATAGCACTTAGACTTATATACCGTTCCATAATGCTTTATAGCCATCTCAAAGCGGTTTACAGAGTCAGCATATTTCCCCCAACAATCTGGGTCCTCATTTAACCAACCTTGGAAAGATGGAAGGCTGTGTCAACCTTGAGCCGGTCAGGTTTGAACTCCTGGCAGTGGGTAGCGTTAGCCTGCAATACTGCAATCCAACCACTCTGCCATCATGGCTCCAAACACCCAATTAAGCATGGCATTTAAATTCAGGAAGTATGTGTAATCAGTCTTATGGATTTGTGGCTCCTTAGTTAAACACTGTGGTCTACAAGGGATATTCAGCAATGAATATTCTAACATTGTGGCCCAATTTCCACTATTAGTCCAAGAAAGAGAGTCCCCCGAATACATGAAAGGGATTTTAATTTTAGAAATAATCTTAAATATAATCCATTATGGAATTTTAAAGCAAAGAGGTGGTAATAAACATGATTCAAACAAGGAGTCCCCTAGTGAACTAAGAAAATGCACAAGCCATATTTTTATTTTCTGTTATGAAAACTGTGTATTTTAATGCTTTTCAGAATACTTTCTCCAAAGATAACTTGTAAGGAAAAAGTTGAAATATCAGAGAAAGAAAAAACATTTGAAAGGGGGAGAAAGCAGGTCAAATAAATATTTGTGTTTACAGGATAATAGTCCTTTCCCATTCCCAAATACAGCAAATATAGAAGGGAGGATCAGACCTACAGGGAGAAATAAAGTTAAAGAGGAGGTTTCCAATTTAAAAACACTGCAAAAGAGACAGGACTGAGAGTATTTTTCAAAGTAAGAATATATTTAATATTGTACCTGCTAACCTTCCATCAAGATATTTTCAGTGTACTGGGAACTGAAACACA